AAAACCCCCTGACTATCAGTCGACAGGTTTAAGCTAGTTCGACCAAATGTTCCATTTACTCTACAAAAATTCTGACTTCAAATTTGAATACATTCATTACTCATGACCCTAAACTTTTAGCTTTAGGAACTTAAGTCCAACTAATACAATGAACTTCACCTACAGCACAAAGTTCATTCAGAGAACTCCAGAAAAACCAGTCAAAATATGGATAAAAAATACTAATCTCACTAAAAGACAACTTTGGCTAAGGGTCTCTTCTCGCAAATGAGCAGGTACAACCGTTTTGGTACCTACCGCCCTCTTAAAACTGATGAACATATACAAATTTGCATGTAATTTTCGAAATCATCTACTCTGTCACGATGAAGAAATTTTTCCATGAAATCAATTCAGCGTACAACGAAATATATGAAAGCTTTTGCCTCCTCAACGTTCCAAAATTAATTGTTTGGCAAGATGATATTATAGGTACTTGTGCATTTAATGTAGGGGATTTTTCACATATGTTCTAAACATATTTTAGTAGACAATATAACAAAGGAGACATACTCAACGTTGCAACATCAACTTAGTGTATAATAGGCCAGAGCAGCGGTCATGTTTACATTCATGTAGTCAATGAATTTGTCAAATTACGGTGTAATTTTTACTAAAAGGCTAGATTCTTCTTTGAACTCTGATATGGCTGTAATTTATGTTCAACATATCAGTTTGTGTTATGCCGGACATGTGCAGTACATTCAAGAATGATATCGCAAGTTACGGGAAGCTTAATAATAGTCATGCCTGTTTTTAAGTAGGCCATCAGTGAATATTGGTACTGGAGAAATGTTTGAGGCCAAGTTTATTTCCTGTAGTTGTGCTGTAAACTATGTTTTGATGACCTAACGACTGTAATCCTCAGTTCTTTGAAAGGTAAGTCCTACTGGGCAGTAGTTTGGTTTTTGGTCTATAAGCCTAATTATTCATAATTGACTACTTTACGTAACATATCTGCTCAGATAAAACGAAGATTATGTACCGTCTTTAGTCTAGAATATTTAGTTGCCGTGCAAATCCGTTCAGTCAACAGAAACCAGCAAACGCTCAGTATGAGATTTTGTAGTTTCAGAAGAAGAATGTTCAAAGTCTTGATTAGATGCAAGTGGTTGTGAATCAAAATTGAAGTCCGTTTAAACACTGACACCGTTTTTTATCAGACAGTGCATCTCCTTGTATGTGATCCAACAAAACGAAACGCATATACATTAGAATGCATGAACGGAAGCAAGAGAAAAAATCTGTATATCACAATATTTAGCACATACTATGCTATGCACAGGTTGAAATAGATGACCTAATGTTTAATTATTATTCATGAAGATGCTATTAAACCACAATTCCACAAATACTTCTTTGCTTAAGGGTGTGTAGTTTGTTTATCCACTTATTTCACGCACATTTGTATGTGTAGAGTTATGGTCTACTATGATATTAGTACTGCTCCAATAAAAGACATAATCCTAAAATTGTAGATTTGTCATGATACAACTGCCTAATCTATAAGATCTTACGTGGAAGTCACACAATCGATTACACCAACTCACTACATCGTGACAATTACCGATACATGATAGACGACAAGCTTAGGCTAGAGACAGAACAATATATTTAATATGAATAGAAGATATAAGGTAATATTCATCAGGGATCACGCCTGTATGCCCAAGCCATGCCATTCGATCAACTCCAGTTAATTCAATTCATTCTTCCCGCATTCTTCATCGTTGGGCTTTTCTCCGTGTTAAATGTTGAATGTCTTTTTCCCACATTGTCTCGTATTAGAGCGCAATGCCAAATGACTCGAGTCGGTGATTATATACGAGAATTGGCGATGTGCATATTTCAATGACAATCAGCATACAGTCTATACAATCCACTAAAAAGTCCTATGGATTTAGCTCAACACACAAGCATTTGACTTAGAAAACTTAAACACCACATTCATATGAAGTTTAAACAAATCTTTGATAAAATTTAGACGAAAGTTCTAACAAACCTTCTTTCTATTTAGACTATCAACTTAGACTACACTATTGAAAGTTACATCATCTTTCTGTCAAATTCGACTTGTCTTTTCATTGATTTTACATAAAAATAGTCAATATATGAACTTTAAAACGTTTCACCCAATAATATTGATTGATCTTGATCGAAATATTGCAGTCATGTCAAAAACTATCACTAACATGAGATATTCGAAATTTTGTTTTTTTATGTTCACAATAGGCATTCAAATTCATAAAGGGGCGCGATGAAGAAAGAGTTCAAAAATTAAGCGAGATGAAGAAATCCTCCAGCAATTTCGCTATACGTAAACTGGAAAAGATACCACAGATATTCAATGGTCAACAACGATTCAGTATGCGACATCTTTATAATCGAAAGATACTAACAAAGCCAAATCAGAAATGAATGTGCTCGAAAATATTTTTGGAGAGGTTGTCGCTATGTTGGGAAGTGTTTGAGTCAAATTGGCTAGAAGTTGCGCGGAATAAGTAACACGGCATACTCAATAGCAACCTGGTACATATGCTTGACTGATCGACTTCAACTAGTGTGTCTTGCGAAACTAGTGAGGTCAGTGTTAGCATCTAAGACCTACAGAACTAATTGTTTTGTGGATCTGTTCAGCGCGTCACTGGAGATGTATAATTGTTACAGTTGCATAATTGTTATAATAAGGCTACCACATCAGACCTTGTTTGGAACAAAGAGATTGTCACGAATGTTTATTGTGACAATTGTTAAAAGAACACGTTGGCAACTGTGAAAAATCAAATTAAATTGTCATTTATATATGACACAATGATGATCTCACGCTTAAAAATGATAATTATATTTTTACCATTATTAATTCGTTACTGTTATGCCTTTTTAAGTATCAATACCAAGGTTTGACTTGCTGATTTCGAGAAAATTGTGCATTAGGTAGATTGTTATAAATAAATAATATATTTCCTATGCTTTTCTTTCAAAAAGAATGATTTTGGTAGTTTTTCTATAAAAGCATTAAAAATGAAAGTTTGTTGCACCCTTACTTCATCCTTAACGAGGTAACACCATATAATATGAAGTATTGAAATATAATACCGTGCACGCTAAATTCATCAATCAGTCTTAAACACTCATGTGTTAGACCATAGATCGCAGATCGCCAGGGATTTGTTGAAAATTGCCGCCGTCGATGGTGATTACTGTGGAAAAGACAATCAAACGCCAACGACTGGCCATATATCACGAGCCACACTTTGTTTCTTAGACCTGTTTTCACCAACAGGTTTTTTTTTAGAGTATTAATTGTTCTTTATGGTCATTAGAGTGGGCTCAGGCCCTTGACACCTTGATAGGGTAGTTCGCGTTACATATTAACCGTGAGATACGACGTCAATGTAAGCTACGAGGTGTCATTATCCCCGTTCTACCTGAGTAGACTGCGAACGTCCACACAGCTCCCCTGCACATCCCCTTCATCTAATAAAGCCAAAAACAGTATCTGTGTGACCCAGTCTCCGATGTACTAAGTCATAAGGTCACCAAGTGCCTACAAAATAATTATATTCAAAAAGACGACCCCACCCCCCTCAAAAACAGGATACTAAAATAGAATCGGATGGGACATTACAAATTCAGCAGTACGAATGGAATTCGTAACCTGTTTGAAAGTTGGGTGGGAGATAAGCAGACTATCTTTTCTATCGCACCAATTTCTAACCCTCCTCATATTTATGGAGGCAATATATTAGCACAGCCTTTGATAGGACAATCAAATATTTGAGGTAACCCGAAAGTTCTTCCATTTTTAAATGAAAAACTCTTAGCTGATGGTGCTCAGTCAAGAATCAGCATCAGACCCCGTTCAAGTACGTGTCGCTGTACATCTTCTATGGCCGTTTGTCAGTTCAAATACCATGCATTACGGTACTCCGACATTTAATCTAGACATGCGTTCGCGTCATGTCATTCCTTAGTACTGATTTTGTTGACTTGGGATCGTTAAGTAAGAAGTGTCAGACAATAACGTCTACAAATCCTGAGTGCCCTTGACATTTTCACCTGTTTCTTAATAACGGAAAGTTCAGAATCTCAGTTTTGAACATTAGAGATAAACGCTCCATTTTGTTTTTCCTGAGAGACATCAGCATCACACTCCACATTGAAAAAAAAACCGAATTTCGCTGTTTAATACTATATAACGAGCTTAATAATGTCATCTTTCAGGCATCAAGACATATTTGTCGTGGAGTTTTTTTCCGGCATATTGGGAATCGTCTTCAATGCTCAATCAGGAAATCATCTAATATAACTTTCTAATTACAGCCTCCTGCCATAGAAAATATATAGCTTTATAGGAACGTGTTCAAAGAACGTCAACCGAAAGAATCCTCGAGCTAAAAATTAGACACTACTCAGCTCTCCTTAATGAACTAAATTTGTAATGCTTTTACTGCAAGAGAAAATGATTATTAGACGTATTCAAATTATTGTACTAACTAGGAATTCTCGAAATAGTGCAATACACAGCAAGCAGAACCAACTGGGCAAAAATGAGCGTACCATATTTGGAATTCAAAATAAGCGGACTATCGGGTGCAAAAGAATCTTTAGTTTGTAAAAATACCATAGAGAATTGAGAAGAATTTGCTCTTAATGCATCATGGCTCTCACAATCCTTTCAATTCTAAAAGAACACTTGAAAGCTTGAGCGAACACTCATTTAGTGCAGACCTCATACGCGCTGACAAAAAAATAGTACATTTTTTGAGGTTTAAATCAACCGTAAATTGGTCTATTGAAAACTAGTACCTATGAGGGTTTTGAGCCCTCTGCTTACTCTATAAAGTTTAAAGACTCATCGAATCATGCTGTAAAAGGACTGACATGGACCCTTGATTTTCTGCACTCAAAGCAAGAAACTTAGGTTGAGTTTCTGAGTTTGACCTTGCCCATTAAGGCGGCTTACATCTCGGTGGCGGTAAATATTGAGCTTGTCATTTATTAAAGTTTAGTTATTAAGATGTCTAAGTAAAACTATGCAAGACTATAGTTATGCATATTATGACCACTGTGGTTTAGTAGTCTTGTTCATGCTCATAAATGAGGCCGTATATTTCAACTAACATATTTAAAGAAATCTAAAGTTCAGATTGTTATTAAGTTCTATATATATCACAACAGTTTTTTCTGTGCTCTTCTTCAATGAACCTTAACTTTTGGTGGTTAATTAAATCGTGGCGATTAAAGGGTAGGTCACTGTTGGATATGAACAGTCGACTGAGGCGACCAAGCTATGTTCAGTCTACCTATAGTCTGTATGTGTTCCTTCAGTATGAATAGCTTTCCATAAGCATTAAGTGTCCACTTAACAAGTTTTGAGTAAACAATTTTTCGCGGGTTTAGGACCTATGAGGAACGGTTCATTTATCCAGATAATTCTGGATGGAGTAAAAGCTTTTGTTTAACAGCAGTGGATCACAGATGCCTCCGAGTGTGAACCTACATGTATTTAACGACAAAAGAGAAATATTAGTGAATTCTAATGAAATGCAGTCCATAACCCTTAAGAACATGTCTTTTATTAAAGGACTCCTGGAAGTCGCTTCGACTACCTTGGTCGGCAGATAATTCCAGAATTTGAATATCCGTAGAAAGTAAAGGTACACCTACAGTCCCTTCTGCTATGTTGGGTCTAATTTCTGGGCGTCACCCCTAAGGTTTGCGTTGGAACTGAGCTTACTTAGGCGTTTGAGGGTATATTCAGTAGTGTTCAAGATGCTATAAATCATTAGAAGGTCACCTCTAGAGCGCCTATACTGTAATGGATAAAGGTTCGGTGATCCGAGGCATCTTTCATAAGGTTTGAATTTGAGTCTTCGCACTGATTTCATGGATCGCCTTTGGATACGTTCCAATGTGTTCTTATGCTTTTAGAGTGAGGAAGGAAACGCCATATTTTCATACTCTAAATGGGGTCGAATAAAAATGATTAAGTGGGAGATCCTACCTTTAAGCTGGCCAGAAATGTGCTTCAGCGCTACCTATGTTCCTCATTCCAATATCCCATCAGTTCAAAATAGTTGCATAACCATAGTCGCTAACATTCATTATTATTTAGTGTACTAACTCTGTGATAGACTATACGTTTGTTTTGCCTCACTGTCATTCGTCGTTTCTGCTTATTGTCATCTATTTTCAATTTTTTGGTAAGTGATTCCATTTATACTCAGCCACTGTAGAAGTGTGTGTTTCACCCACTTCAAGCTGGACGATCAGCTTATTAGGCTAGGCTTTAGTTCTTGGTGATATTAAATGAAGTCATTAAGGTTCGTGATTACTAGAGATTCACGGCTATTCATCAATATTCACTAAATCACAGTACCTCGTCTCTTTATCCAACTATACGTACAAGAGTGTATGCTAATCGGATTACATTATATATTACTTGCATTTATGCTACATTTGTAATTCAAAATTAACAGTTTCTGCATTTCATGTGGTCCAGGCTGATATACTTTCATACTACATTACCTCGGTTAAGTGGTCAAACACGACTTTCAATCACTGGGTTGCAGTTTTGAAACTTTTTTATTTCCGTTTAGCAAGTTTGGTATGTTCCTCAGTCCTCACAAAAAGTAACAGAAAGCCGATTACAAAAACATTATCAGTCACTCAAAACACACCACTTCTATTTATCAGTTATATGGCTCCTAAAGCGCCACACATTTTTTATCCTATTTAGTTACTACCATATTTCTTCCTTTCAATGTTCAGGAATATGGTTACTCTCTCCATCTCTAATAGATTTGTCATGAAATGATGAGGCATTACTGATCGGGAAAATAATTAAATTCTGTATGTCGTGGATAAATCCTATTGTTAGTAATTTTTGGTCCAAAAATTATGCTTCCATAACTTTTTAAATTTCAAAGCTCCATACTTAATTTCTAAATTTCCACCACTCAGTTACATCTAATGGCTAGTCAGAATTCCAATTTATCACATCGTCGCACTACCATGGTTGGCGACAGTGAGCAACAAATTACGAGTTTCAATGCTCATAGTGCTTCTTTTCACACGGAAAACGACAATTCCATACCTTCGTTTGATGAAGAAATATTTGATGCTTGTCGCAATGGGGATTTGGCTCTTGTAAAATGTCTACTGGAAAATGGAGTTAATGTTAACCTCATAGATACTTCAGGTCGAAAGTCGACACCGCTACACTTTGCTGCTGGATACGGCCGTCGAGACGTTGTTAGTCTTCTCTTAGATCACAATGCAGATGTTTCTGCTAGAGACGAAGGAGGTTAGTCCCCCCCCCAATTTCATATCATGATGGTACAAAATGTTTGTATTTTGTTTAATAAAAGGAGAAATTGACGTATTTTTATCACTCAAAAATGATAATGATGATATCGCTTAACATAACCCCAATGTTTCTGAAGAATAATTTCGTTCGACTGCAAATTGCTTTGAATCTACTACTTTGATTCAAAAACTCGGTTCTGTTTTTCGTACAGTTATAAACTCATTCATTCTAGTACTTAATCTGTCAGCATTTTGCTTAGGATTAAATTTTTTATTTAGTGATTTACATTATTCACCATCATTCATTTGTCCCAAGAAAGATTCGCGATAGATTCAAAGCCATAAGAGACAGATAACTCCTAATAAACACTAGTGCATTTAATTTTTCAAGCATCAATAATTCACCCTCATCTATTCATCTATGTATATTCCGGCGCAAAATAGATCATGAATTCTGTATATGTTATCAAAAATCTTTTTCTTTGTTGATCATTAGATTGTAGCATATTAGATGTATCATTGTTGGATACAAACATCTTTTTACGCAGTTTTCACACCACACGTCTATTTTTCTGTATATATATATATATATATATATATATATATATATATATATATATATATATATATATATATATATATATTCACGTTACTTCTTCCGTATGTTAAGGTTTGATTCCCTTGCATAATGCATGCTCATTCGGACACGTTGATGTGGTGCACCTGTTACTATCAGCAGGTTCTGACCCCAATGCTGAAGATTGTTGGAACTACACACCTCTACATGAAGCTGCCATAAAAGGAAAAGTAGAAGTTTGCATTTTGTTACTTCAGGTATGTCATTTGATGTTGCATTTTTGTTCGAGGATTGTCGAGTTTTAATCCTTTTTTTCTTGTCACTGTGACAAAGTTGAGTATGAATTTCACTTTTTAATTATATCGTACAAATCTGATCATTGTTACGTAGGAAGGACTATATTGTGTAATTATCTTAGTTATGGACGTAATGATCTAGGTTGCAAAGTTTATACCATTGAATTGGGTTTCGATACATATTTATATCAGGTTTCCAAATATGAGTCATCCGATGATAAATATTTTCGAACTAGAAAGCATTCATCCATACATCTATTCCAAATTACTAAAAGTACTTGCAACACCCTGTTTAAACTCCATATTTTAACGTAGTATTTCTCCTAAAACGCTGTCTTTTCTATTGTATATTTCCTTGCAAAGTATCTACAGTGAAGCATAGGATTACCATTGAAGCACTTAAAATTATGGTCTTCCCTGGTGTGAATTATTTCCTCATTCAGTTGTGAATAATGTAAAACAGAATTGTGTCCTCCATTTGCAACGTAGTACTTTAACTCTGAACATATTAAAACTGTACTTTTTATTGTTCAAGTTAATAAGCTGATGGATTAGTAAGTAGTACATTTTTTTCTACTTAAATTAGGCAAAAGCCAATCCCCACGCTCGAAATTTGGATGGCAAAACCCCTGTTGATTTGGCTGAGGGTTCGGCCCGTTTAGCTTTGGTTGGAGAGTATAGGAAAGATGAACTACTTGAAGCCGCTCGAAGTGGGAATGAAGAAAAGCTCATAAATCTGTTGACTCCACAAAATGTAAACTGTCATGCTGGAGATGGTCGTAAATCTACACCATTACATTTAGCTGCTGGTTATAACCGGTAAGTAATCTATCATTTCACTGTTCTGTCTTTTTAATATCATCTTTATCTCATAGATCCAGATTTTTTAATAGAGAATCAAAACAACCGTGTACTATTGTTTTCTCGTGTTTTTAACATCATCCTAGTTCAATTTATGATTAGAACACTTGTAGATGATAAAGCATAATTTTGAAGAAAGCGTTCTTTTCGCCCCACCTAGCTATTTTTACAAGCCATAGTCACAATGAATATTGCAAATTTATTCATTTTAACTTTCTATTTCGCTTCGTTTCTATTCTTTTTTACCTTTGTTTTTCAACTCACTGGCTCACCCTTGGTAAACGTTCTGTCCTGTTTAAATAATGTCAAGTCTCTGCCTGGTTGGGGTTTTAAATACTACTACCAAATACGGCATTCTAATAAGCTTTTCTGAAAGCGCGTGTGTCATTTAAACTGATCTTCAGTGCTCACACATTGATGGAGTTCGGACAACATACAAGTTTTACTATCTCTTTGGAAAGTCTTGATGTCAACGTATGCTGTATCTCTAAGACTATTACTCAAGTGAAACGTCACAAATTTGTTCTCCATTTGTTGATTCGAAAATTGTTTTGCACGTGCGCGTATCCATAGACTTTGTTGTATCTACTTGTAGTTTGGCTAGGCGCTAGAACATAGGCGACACCAATCAATTAGATCTTTAGTTAAAATCATTTATGTGCTGTTGGGTTGGAAGGCCGCACGAAAGTGAATACAAACTAGCGTGGAAAAAGATATTCTTCCGTAATCTTTGGCTATGAATCGACAGATCGTAACTAGCATGCAATCAAGTATCTATTCTACTATCAATTAAATGATCTTGAAAAAGCGTGTTCGACAGATATCGTATTGTTAAACAGACAGTCTTTTGGGTAGCTGATCAAGTGGCGGTGATCGCCTCGTGCAGCTTTTCACAGACGTTAGCTTGTTTCTCGACAGTGCCAACTCCCGGGGCAGTCATCACCGTATGTTACCTGACTTCTTCTCTGTGCAACCCAAACCTGGGCTCAGATTGGTTACATCGCTACGACTGTTATGGTCGTGTGCAAGACTGGTGCTCCTTTCGGAAAACCTGTCTAAACAGCGAACACTAAATTTTAAGCCCCTCGTGTAGTCGTTTCAGTAATATCAGTCGCGTGTATTGTTTTGCTCTGTATAACCCTTACTAATGAAAGTTTATCATGCTAGTGCAAAAAATTGTATAAGGGTATAGTTTTAATTAAACGGAAGTTTCAGTTGCTTAATTCCACTCTGCTCATAGTGATTACTAGCGTTTTTGTACAAAAATGTATTGACGCAAAAGCTACCGTTATCTCTGCCAACTTATTTTCTCTATTGGTGAGTAACTTTTCGTGCAGATTTCATACACATCTAATACCAAATATATTTTAATTTGACTAATGTTATACAACGAATTATAGGACGTACTGAAAGCCATAAGTAGTGTAACTTGACAACTGTTAACGTGATTTACAGATTTTATTTCAAAGCATTATATTTTATTAGTTTTTTCAACATTATAGCAATTTTCGAGGGCAAGAATACTTTCCTGAATAAGTAGTCGTTTCGTATTCTAGAAGAGCTTATTTGAATAAATTCTAATTAAATATGTCATGCTTTTTTTGATTAAGTGAAGTAGGATTAGTCCCATTTATCTATTTGATGATAATGTACTTTCACAGAATTTCGTCACACTACACCTGATGAAACCCCTCTTTTGATTTGTATCTTTTAGTACAAAAATTGTGAAAATTTTGTTAAAAAATGGAGCTGATGTTATCGCTAAAGATAAAGGTGGTCTTATTCCTTTGCATAATGCTTGTTCCTATGGTCATTTGGACGTATGTGAATTGCTAATTAGTGCTGGTTATGGTTCTGCTCAAGTACATGCCGCTGATTTATGGCAGTATACACCATTACATGAAGCAGCCAGTAAATCACGTGCAGAAGTGTGTTTTCTACTTTTGGCATATGGTGCGAATCCAACCCAACCAAACTGCCATGGAAAGTCTGCATTAGATTTGGTACCGAATAATGATCTAAGACAGAGATTGCTTTTGAGTATCGAGGTACGTTTATTCTGTGACACCACTATTTATGTATATGAATCCTTGTAACTAAAGGTGTTATTAGATTCGAAAGCTAGGGTTCGAATTTTATGATCATTGATCACAGATACGACATAGTTCGTATATGGATTGAATAATTTTTTTTTAGACAGAATGTTTAGTTTACCAAAGTTTTGTAATGACCTTATGTTTAACGCAACGAAATTAATTATTTAAATGTAGTAGCTCAACAATTAGTATATCTTTGTAAACTTATTCTGTGTAAGTGTTATTTCTCTTCACAAGAAAGGCTTCACAAAATACATATGGGTACTTTGTTCACTGTCGGTTGTTGAATTTATTCGGTGTAGTTATCAAGAAAGCTTTCTAATAAGTTTAAATCACTACGTCTTTTGTTCCAAGTACTTGAACTGCCATTAACCCACGATTTATCCGATGGTAAATGGCCATATAGTATGGTATTCCATTCAGTCCTGTAATATAATATTATAGAGACAGCTTACGTTGTAAACAAATATTTAGATATGTTTGAAAACTGTCTTATTTTGTCCTGGAACTTATATCGTGTGTAGTTAAGGAAGTAAAGTTGAGTGAATTCACTTTCAAAATGTCAAACTACATAGAATTAGTCATAATAAAGTACGATTTCAGGTGTTCACATATAAGTTTCCAACCTTTTTCTATTAGACGTGGCTAGAAAAACTACTTTCTGCATACAACTCAACCCATTTATTGAAATCCATATAAAATTGTTATGATTTAAGAGTTTCAAGCTTCTTTTATTCTAATTCTACTTTAAATATCCTCTCTTCTCGAATTAGACTGTGACCCAGAATATGTAACCAATATTCTTATCATTTCGTTCTGACCAGAGTAGCAACTTCATTCACTGGTTTCCTAACCGTTGTTTAAGCATAGTGTACAGACGCAGCTTCCCCATCAGTCATCCCACCGTGTTTTTGGTATAATTCCAAGGTATCGGTAATCAAGCATCTATAACATTCGTGTTTGAAGAGATATGTATCGATACACTGAATTTTCCTTTAAGTCGGTAAACCTTTTCTTGGATCACAACGTTATATACTTACAAATGGCCCTCGAATGCCCTGGTATGACCGAGAGTGGGGTGGGCCCGCCCTCCCTCTCGAAATGCTCTCACACGGCCACGCGTATACAGCCTCTGTCAGGGAATTCCTACTCACTGCCTTCTCGTGGCAGGGGTGTTGTTTGCAAAATTGAGAGGACGAAAAGCGAAAGTCCGGCGCTTTAACCGGATTCCAAACCAATGGGGCACATGGGCTCCAGTATCCTATGGGAACAAATGGCGTATGAACCAATTGTTGGTCACCGGCCACCATGGGACTGCATCTCCTCGTGATGCTCCACTGCCTTGTGGGTTAGACCTTTAGGTCAAAGGCTCGGGGTGTGCTCCCCTAAGAAAACCACCTGCTTCGGTCTGGGCACCCGGGCAGTATCATAGCCCTCATACAAATCGAATGATTTATGTGGCGCTATGTATTTGGTGCCTCCTTGTAACAATGTTTATGTGTTTAAATAATAACAATAATAATACTTACAAATGGCTTACTCCATACCCTTAATAAAGTCAATCTTTGATAGAAACTTCATTTACACTCGCTCTTTACGTCTCTGCATCTGTGAAATTATTTAATTAATGTAGCGTTCACCTTTTTCTTTTACAGGATATGTTTTTCTTGAAGCTTGTCAAAATGCAGACATCCATCAAATTCGAAAATTGCTGTCTTTACCCACTAACACCATATCAAGCAACGCCTATCCAATCGCCCCACCATTATCAGTCAATTTTAGTGTTCCTTCTAATACTTGTTCTTCAATTCATGATGGGAAGTGCATGCATCAGAAAAATTGTAATATTTCTTCAGTATCGTCCTCAAGTCAACACCAAGAATCCATTCTACCTATGCCTGTTCAAATTAATCAGGATCTCCTTCATTTCCGACACCCATTCGTCGGTAACACTGCTCTTCATTCTGCCTGTTGCGCAACCAACTCAGGAGAGCAGACCGTGACGAAAACATTTCACCTTGGTTCAGGTTCTTATCCTGGATTTCATTCACCAGAAAATAAACAACTTATATCTCATACACAGTATACTAAAGACTTGTCAGTCAACTCAGTTAATCGTAATGTTTCTCCAGTCTTGGGTAGACAGTTGATTGAATGGCTTATCGATCAAGGTATTGCGGTCTCAGATTGCAATGTTGAGGGACAAACTCCTCTTCACTTAGCTGCTCGTTACGGATATCTTGAGGCAGCTGCTTGTTTGTTACGGCGTGGTGCTGAACCAAACGTTGCGGACTGGCATGGTTTCACACCTTTACACCTGGCTGCTAAATATGGACATTCTCATATCATACAGCTCTTAGTTCAAGGATTTGGCGCAGACTTAAATTGTACTACTATACCAGGAGGCCATACTGCTGCCTCTTTGGCTTCTACTGAGTGTGTCAGACGTCTTATTGCAGAATTAAGTCTTAGTCCAGTGAATAACACTCTGAGTTCTTCACAAAAATTACCCACTGAAAAACATGTCACTGATTCATCAGCCCACATGCCTTCAGCGCCAGGTAACTTTTCCATCTTTTATTTGAGTACCAATACTTTTTCCTTTCACTTCCAATTAATAAAGATGTTCTATTTGTCTAGCGAAAACTTAAATCTAGGGGTTGAGTAATAACATTTTATTAATCTCTGAGGCAACTATTTTTTAGCGTGTTTCAAGCTGTATCTTTTGTATCTCCATTTCATATACCAACTTTGCGCCAAGGTTTGTTACTAATACCTGGTTGTTGAATTAATAGAACTCTGATCCAGCTGGTCAAGAAGAGACGGATCACAAAGTAATGTCAATGACGAATATTACCCAGTAGCTTTGAATTCCATTATGCAAGGTCAAAATCTCGCAAATTGGATACTACTTCATGATCAGTTGTAACACTGCCAAGAAAACAGTTGTTAAACTTTCCCAAAGAATGTTTCATGAAACTAAAACGTTTAACTGACTCCGATGATCACTAATAATTTTCATGTACATATCCTATTGTACAATACTTGCGTTATGAGTCTTCAAATATTTTGCAAACAACTTGTCTTTAGACGTAAACAACCAATGTTTTCAATACCCACTATTTATGTCGACTAATATTACTGCTTAGTGAAGGCTTTAACATATAAACTGCAATCATGCGTACACGACAAAAGTATATGAGTAGGCTGGAAGAAGGATAAATATAGGCAAACCAAGACATTGCATCAGTTCATCAAGTCACTAACGGTTGAACTTAGCCATGTTAATAGATGTAGACTATCTGGTTGACGTCCACGTGATTATCGTAAACAATAGTTGGAGACTTCGAATGTCATTGCTCAAAATCACTTGTAATGACGCATGTGAATCTATTCTTTGTATTCCCCAAAATTCCTCATAAATTCTTTATGTTTCTATTTCCATAATTTCTATTTTATTCTCGAATCGTATCTTCGATATCAAATCTTTCCCATTACCACTGATACTATCACTAACTCTACTATTCTGAGATTTGGCCTGACAAATTCACCTCTCTGTGGTAATGAGGTATGGCAACTTGGACCGATGTACATATGTACAGGTTGCACGTTGCGGCTGACTGGTTAACATGATAAATCTATTGTTTAATTTCAACTTAAACTTTTTTCTTCTTTTCATTGCCCATATCTAAATTTAGATGCAGAGAAAACCCAAAGTGCGGTTGTTTGTAGTCAGCAAGTTTTTCCATTTTTAGTTTGTTCTGGATCTCATTCACAGGACAATTCAAACATGTTTTATGACCCCAAATACTCTCAGAAACCTACTCCAAACAATCCTTCGTCTACTAATCGTAGCACCACTACTACTCTTCCGATTTCAAGTACTGATTATGTTTCCCCATCTGGAAGTCACAGCTGGGCGGACATAGTACTACAGTTGTTAGAAGCAGCTAAATCCGGTGATGTAGAAATGGTTCGTCGTCTTATTACAACACATCATTATTCTGTTTGTCCGGATGGTGCTGCAAATGAATTATGTACTGAATCATCGGAGTCGTGTACTGTTACTGCCCCACTGGATTTAATCAATTGTCGTGATATCGATGGTCGACACTCAACACCTCTCCACTTCGCCGCTGGATATAATAGATTAGCTATCGTAGAATTACTGTTACAGTACAAAGCCGATGTTCATGCTAAAGATAAAGGTGGTTTAGTACCCCTGCATAATGCTTGTTCTTATGGTCATGCTAAGGTAAGGCACTTAAAATTTCATCAGCAAACTTATTTTCAATTTATGCTGATTACAAGTTTCATTGTATATTAATTAAAATTTTGTCATGATTAGCAACTTTAACTAAAAATTATTTGTTATTTCGACTAACAAATTTCGTACAACTGAGTTCTTCAACTGGTAATTCTAATAGAAGTGGCTTGGCAGTCGGAATACTGGAATTCCAGTTACATTAATTTGTCAGGTCTCATAATTTTTTTATCTCTCTAAATCTTGAGTGTGAACATTTTTTCATACAGATGTTCCTCAATTATATTCGTTCTTTTCGAACTACGTTCTCAGTATGTAGTGTTTTACTTATGTGGATATTATGACTATAACTTCTATTTTCGTATTTTTAGTTTCCTCTTGTTGTTTTGTTGTGAAGTATGACAGTTTGGACTGATGCATTTTTATACTTCGATCTACGTTTGAAACTGACTGACTGAAATATAATAATGTCATTGGCTCTGTTCACATATCGGTCAAATCCCATGTCAGGTTTGGACGATTTGCCAGAAGGGTTGTTTTTAAAGTAACATAACTAAGACCATGCTGACCCCAGTAAACTGGTATAAAGGTTCTAAGTACTTTAAATACTGAGAATTTGGTTGATACTTCTTTGCTAAACTTTCTTGACAATTTATGTACATGACGACCTTGAGCAACATTAAAGCTCTTGAAGCAGTTAAACGAGGCTCAAATACTTCTGGAAAGATGATTAGTTATTCACTCTATCGTTTGATACTAGACTTGATGTTCACTGCCATGACATGCAGTTTTCCCTAAGGATATTATTAGACAGCATTTCATTTCCCGTAAAATATTGATAAGTGTATTTTTGGCTTATCATTATTATGGTTATTACTGTTAAGTGTATAACCGTTTTATTACTAATCATACAACTTGTTCATGTAGTAAAAAAATTAAGTAATAATATGAGTTAGGAATAAAATAGCATAATATGATACATGTTTGTGCCTGTTATCTGATGACATTACACGGAACTAGTAATTGGAACCGTAGTTACAAAATAATGGTTTGGTAACTTCTCCTTTAAAAGGTTGCTGAACTCCTTATTCAACATGGAGCCAATGTTAATGTTACTGACTTGTGGCGTTTCACCCCTCTACACGAGGCTGCGGCTAAGGGCAAGTTCGAGATTTGTCGATTATTGCTCAAACATGGTGCCGATCCGTTGAAAAAGAATCGCGATGGTCATACTCCCATAGATCTGGTTAAAGTATGTATTCATTAAATTATAAATCGTTTGTTTGTAATATCTTTATTCTTCACAGTTCAGTGATTTTACTTGAAATACTTCCGTTTTTATATATATTGATAGTGTACGTTGGTTTTTATGACAAAATACCCGGCACACATCTACTAATCTACTAAATTAAAATATTCACATTTTCCTTGCAGGCATTGGTAGGTGTTATTAATCGTTACTCGTTTTGTTAATTTTTCAGAAAATGAACTGCCCTATTAACACTTGGTCGTATTTCATAGATGCTGATCAATGTTTTATATCAACATTTATGTCAAACAACAATAAATTATCAGCCCTCACTTACTGCGTAACATATTCAATCACCTGTGAAGGAAGCCTTTGGCGGTATATATATACTTACTATTTTGACCACTTCAAATGTCCTAAAAAGTATAATAATATTAAGTTTAAATGATCATATTGTTGAGCTTCATAGTCACATAGTTTTATTTTGTGACAGTATATTAACTGGACCTTAGCTGAATGATTCATTGACAAACTTTTTCTTTATCGTCTTATTAGTAGTCATGCAATGAGAAAAAAAATCAACAATAAAGTAGGATTTCGTTTAAAATTATGACTTTCACTTCATCTGTTTGTTTGGGATAAAGTTCAATCTTACAAAAAGTTTAGTATATTCTGACGCTGTAGATAAATAATTTTTTTCGAAGATTCTGTTTCATGCCAAATTGATGAATTTCAATTAAAAACATATTTCCATATAAAAGCACAACACAAATGATGAATTATATAGCTTTTTCAATAGTTATACACTAGGAAATATGGGTAGATGTATTTTGTTTATAATAATATCTTTTATATATTGACCTTTATTTCTCTAGGATACAGACAGTGATGTTTATGATCTATTACGCGGAGATATTGCCGTTTTAGAAGCAGCTAAGAAAGGGAATTTAACTAAAATAAAACGATTAGTGACTTCAGAAAATATTAATTGTCGTGATACTCAAGGAAGAAATTCAACACCGCTTCATTTAGCTGCAGGCTATAATAATATTGAAGTAAATTATTTTCATTTGAAGATAGAAACATTTGGCTTTGTCTTATATTCAATTATATTAAATGCATGCACGATTTTTAATATTATTTTGTGTTGTTTCAATGTAATTTACTGAATACTACAACACTTTCATCAACAATCATCTCTTCTAGTTGAGATTCCTAAACTGATCGAACAGTGTATCGGCAACAATTACCTGTATTTATGAAATATTCTGATTGATTGAAATGAGTGTATAGATTGAAGTAACAAGTTGTTATTGGGTGGTAGCCTTGTTTTCAAAACTTCCAGTAAAATCTATGTGCTCTAAAAAGTTTTAAACGCTGTGATAAAACTTTTTTAACCTGATGATTTGTCAATACCATTTACACACAACGGTGGTCGAGTGCATTCTAAATATGGTTTCGAAAATAATCCGACAAATAAATGGATCATATACAAAGGATACTAATGTAGAATGATCTTCATAATTGTAAAAAACTGACAGCACTTTTGTATTACACGTGTCCACAAAATACTAGTCATAGTACTAAATCGTAGTAACCATACTTCATATCGTGAAAAAGTATTTCTCCGTATTTTTCTACTCGTAAGAAATTATCAGATAATAAATTTTCGTTAAATCTTGAAATAAAGTTACTTTAAAGACAAAAATCTGAAAATGTACTTGATATTTTGAAATCTTTATTTTTTTTCCAAACGTTAAGACACTAGAATTCTTACTAGAATCAGGAGCCGATGTAAATGCCAAAGACAAAGGTGGTCTAATCCCATTACATAATGCAAGTTCATATGGTCATGTTGATGTAGCTGCACTTCTTATTCGCTATGGAACTTCAGTAAATGCTGTAGACAAATGGGGTTATACACCGTTGCATGAAGCTGCTCAAAAAGGACGAACTCAGTTATGTGCTCTTCTGCTAGCTCATGGAGCAGACCCAAAAATAAGAAATCAAGAAAGTATGTTATATTTTTGTTCAGTTATATTTACTAAGTTTTAGTTATGATAAATAAAGTAGTTATCTCTCGTCACTAAAATTGTTGATAAAGGTATTTAGAATTCTATTAAATTCAATACTTTGTTGACATTTGTGTTGCGAAACTATTTTATTAAGTGACTGAGTACTGTAATTGATATGCTTATAATTATTTACAGTTGTACATATACTTGTGTTTTTTTTTAGTATTATTATCCCATATTTTTTACTTTCTATTGGCACTCATTTCTTTTGATTTTTCACGGCTGTTTTATATTATTATATCAACTCATTTGCTTCTCCCTGAGAGGTTTCCCCTTTTTATGTTTACACGAAGAGTGGCAGCTGAAACTGATGTTTTATTTTCCAATATCTGTCCATTTGTTCGATGTACGTAGTATGATGCATATAAATTTGCGTGTGTAAACATGTTACTAATTTCGTGTTCGGATTTTACATCTTTCGTCTTAATGTGGTTGGCCACTTAGTTCTGCGCGTCGATCTCTTCACTCATCTTGGCGCTTTTTCAAACTGGATGAGTTAGTACTTGACGAGCTCTTGAATAAAGGTTACTTAACTTTTAGGAAGTTTAGATCAGGAAAGATGGTTTTCTGTTTTAGCTAAAGTCAAGTGTATGAAGCACTGGTTAACTTTTCACTTTCTTGACTAATAAACATGACATTCAAATGTTGAAAATTTGCATAATTTGCTAGTGTTTGGTCGTAGATGTTTCTCACCCGTTTTTTGTGTATGGTGGGACCATCGAGTAAGTAATACTGCCGTTAAGTATGAATTACCAGGTAGATGTGGTGAATCGGTTAATTCTCATCGGCTGTGATTATTGGGACATGCGTCTTACATTCCTAACCATTACCTACTTTTATGTATCATCCTTTCTAACATAAATCTAGACTAGGAGAAAGCGAGTCCCAGCTAGACATCGGAATAGTTCATGAAATTATTTCTAGTTTGAGATCTGCGAGATAATCACATTGATTGGAGACCTTATGCGACCTGGCTCAAAAGCGGTTGCAGTGACAAATGTATTAATTATTTATCTCGTAATACTTCAATTTAAATTTTATTTCATAAGTTTATCCATTGCTTTTATTCCTTATTTCCAAGCTCCATCCTCTGTGTTTAGTTTGTTTTGAATACCATTATTCTAATTTCTTTGTTTCCAATCATGATTATTTCCTCTTTCTCTCTCTCTGTGAAGTGCTGTAGTTTGAGCTGTTGGACAATTATGACAGGTTCTGTGTAAATTTACTGTTTCCATAGCACCCTTGAATTGGTCCGTTAATCTGCTTATCTATCATTTTAATAAGCTTTCTGTCCTAATAAAATCTCATTTAATATTGTTCGTTCATATTTTCTAAGTCATGAATAATGTCATTTGATAAAATTCATATGAAAATCTGTTGATTATATAATCTGATTATCATTAGGAAATTCTGTGATTTCATTTATCATCATTGATTTAGGCTCATCCAAAACAATGATCAATTTCAAAGATGTTTGTTCATATTCCGTCACTTTTATTGACTGAATCATCTCTTCACTTTAACAAAAGAAGCTCATTAATAATAATAATAATAATAATAATAATAATAATAATAATAATAGTAATAATAATAATAATTTTACAGGTAATTATACGCCGTTGAAGTGTACTGTGGTCAAAGTAAATCATAAAATCATTACAATTTCAAGTGAATTTTTTAAATGTGACCAACTATTAGATTACACTTTCTGACTTCAGCCCCACTTCGATTTAAGTATTTGAGATGTATCGCTAACGTTTACATAAAATGTGTGACTCAAATATAAATACATATACCTATATTTCATAAATGAGTTTGTAGAAGAAAAGGCAAAACATTCATTGTTTTTATTATAACTAATGAAGATTAGTAATTAGGTGGTACTATATTATCGATTATAACCATTTATACTGTGTGTATATGCTTATTGCACAATGAAGGTTTTTATTTATATTAATAATAAGGTAGATAAATATTAGAGTTTAAACTGAAACAAGGAAAATTTAGCAAGTAAACGGATATAACATTTAATTCTTTATATATATATATATATATATATATATATATATATATATATATAGTTTCCCCGTTAACTACCTTTATACCTGTCATTCTGTTTTATCCGCTCTATACCTTATTCTTCTATATTAATTTCTTTAAAATAGGAATCAATTAATCCAGCTTGGCTATTATTCATTAAAAAGCAGTGACTAAACAACGACTTCACAGTAATCTTCAAATAATATCGGTTTTTGCCACTATTCACCAGGTGTCATAGTGTGATGCATTGACCTTCTTGAATATAACTTTCTTACAGACCTCTTTACTTCGAAATATTGTACGGTTTCTTGAACTCTTCACATCGAAATGACTTTTGACGCAAACACCCTTTGGGTAATTAAATGCCATAACCTCTTCACTTGTGTTTTTATTCACAGCAAAGAAGGTCGACTGATATGCTACTAGCACTTTGCTAAAGTTAGAAACATTATATTCACGCTACAGAATTCCAAACGGTGAATTCTAATTCCAATAGTTTCCTGGCCAGATAAAGTTAATCACATCACATTTTCGAGATCATATTTTCTCCACACAATCCAAATTATGTTGGGTGCTAGTAGATAGTCTGAACAAAAAACTCCTAGATTCATGTTTTGTGCTTGTTGATACTCGTCGCTAAAGCGTTCTTGCAGTCTTAAGTAAACTGCTGCTCCCTGTGTGATTCGAACCCAGCTTCCAAGTTGGGGCCAATACCTCTGAGCCCTTCGGATCGCGATTGATATCCTATGGGACAGATATTCACAATTGAGCGGTCACTGGTTAGTGATTGATAACATGTTTCTCTAATCCCTTTGTGCGGATCGAATTTTATCGACCAATATTGCATTTTGCACTGTGTCATCATTAGTCAAAACACCAATAAATTCTCAAACGCTTGTTTTTCCGATTTTTTGAGCCTGGGTTAGAAATTATTTTTCAATGATACATTCTTGTGTTATTGAATCTAGTTTCCAAATCACGTGTCAGAAGATATTGCGTTACACCTTAGTTTCACAATTAAATTACATTGTTTCCTAATCATTTGACCTGAATAAGTCAGAACTGTATTCCTTTTAATCACTATTTTAAATTGTTAGACTGTGCGCCTATTGTTTAATTTAGCACCATGAAATTCTCAGTTGCTAATTCTCAATTTTATGTTAAACTTTTCTATAAAACTCCCTGTTTTTCTGCATCACACTCGGTCGGGGTTATTTAGTGTGGCTCATAGTTCTCTGTATCTGTTTGGTTAGTAACTGAATTATTTTACTTTTATTTCATACAACAACTCCTCATAACAAACTATGTTTTTTTTCAGATCAAACACCTTTCGAACTAGCGACAGCTGATGACGTTAAATCTTTGCTGTTGGATGTAATGCTTCATACGACTGCATGTATTACAACAGTCTCAAAGGAAAATGTTCTTTCATCGTCGTTCAATTCTATTACCTTACCTACATCTAACTTGGACACATCCTCACCTCAGCAAACATCTTTTAGTAACCTGTTGCCATCTATGTCCATCGGTCCACGAATTGAGTGTCAAGGTCGCGAGTCTAATTTACCGGGACCAATTGTCCCATCTGCAAATATTTCGAACCCAGTCTGTTCATCAAATATGACTTTGGTTAAGTTGAATAACTCAAGCTGTCCAGGTAATGGTAAACTAACGACAGCGAATTTTCTTATGTCCCTCGGTTTGGGTCAGTTGATCGAACTATTCGAAAAGGAATTAGTGAGTGAATTAACTAAAGTTCTAATCACGAAATTTAACCTATTACGATTGTACACTTATTTTGTAATCATTGATTCATATAGTTATGTAATACTGTGTTAAGTTTAACGAGTTTGTATCTGTTAGTCACCTTTACGTTATACATATAGAAACATGAAATAAGATAGGCTCTCCATTAAGCTGTATCAGTCAGTCATTAAGTTAAAAAGTAGGACCTGTACATATGTACATCGGTCCAAGCTGCCATACCTCATTACCACAGAGAGGTGAATTTGTCAGGCCAAATCTCAGAATAGTAGAGTTAGTGATAGTATCAGTGGTAATGGGAAAGATTTGATATCGAAGATACGATTCGAGAATAAAATAGAAATTATGGAAATAGAAACATAAAGAATTTATGAGGAATTTTGGGGAATACAAAGAATAGATTCACATGCGTCATTACAAATGATTTTGAGCAATGACATTCGAAGTCTCCAACTATTGTTTACGATAATCACGTGGACGTCAACCAGATAGTCTACATCTATTAACATGGCTAAGTTCAACCGTTAGTGACTTGATGAACTGATGCAATGTCTTGGTTTGCCTATATTTATCCTTCTTCCAGCTAACTCCTATACTAGAAAAGATCGTCCGTTGAGGTAGGCAGTGGTTTGTGATAAGTAACACATGTCCCAGCCACCCAAATTGATGGAGATTTACTAGCTCATCAATCGACTTGTTGTCTTTATCTAGTACTCTACTCCTAACTGAAACATTACTTAATTCGTGGTTCCAAAATACAGGAGGAATACTTCGAAGACACCTATGATCGAATACCAGTAACTTACAAATATACTCCCTTCCTAATGGCTATGTTTTACATCCATAAATTAAAATGGAATGAACTGCTGCGCAGTTAATTCGCCCTTTGTTTGGAAGACGGATATCTGGCCTACACCACGAGTGGCACTCGTTGGTAAATGCCAATCGAGGTTTTTGATACCGTGTCGATATTTCGTCAGACACCAGACTGTCAGGACTGATAGGACTCCTAATATAAGTGAAGCGATCAATGTGTTCAATTACTTCACTCCCTATCACTAAGTCAGGCGATTACCCAAGCCACTCTCTCAGTAACATTTCATACTTAGAGGGGGAGAACCGCATCTCAAATATGCTTGTATTTTAGCTTAAGGTGATCAAAGGATTCTGGATCTTGTCAGTGTCTTCTCCAAACATAACTATATCATCTGCGTATTCCAAGTCAACGAGTGAATCTCCCAGTAGAAGACCAACTCCTGAAAAGTGAGACGATGGAAGTGTGAAATCTAAAAGCATTTCCTTGACACCTTACTTATGCCTGTTACTCCTCATGGAGGAGCGTAGTCCGCTCACCAACAGTCTCCACCCAACTTTGTCCTGGGCGATCCTTTCCAGTTGTTTACAGTTGCTACTGATCCTTTTCACGTCTGCTCCCAATTCTCGGCGAGTGTTTTTTTGGCCTTCCTCTTTTCCATTTCCTTTCAGCACTCAATGTTAGGGCTTGCTTCGTGATGCGGTTTTATGATTTCCACAATGCATATCCTGTCTACTTCCAGCGTCTTTTCCAGATTTCCTCTTCAGCTGGAAGCTGGTTTGTCCTTTCCCACAGTAGTCTGTTGCTGATGGTATCCGGTCAACGGACATGCAGTATCTTGTGTAAACTACTGCTCATAAGTACCTGTACTCTTTTGACGGTGTTTGTAATAGTTCTCCATGTTTCAGCTCGGTGCAGAACTGTCTTGACGTTTATATCGAAGACTCTTACTTCGATGTTGGTGGAGAGCTGTTTTTAGTTCAAAATGCTTGGCTATGGTGGCGGAAATCCGTGGAGTAAAGTGAGGTGTAGCATGTCTAGGGTCCACCTTCTCTAACCGCTTCCTTCCGTTGTGAGAAGGCGCCATTGCTGCAGATACTGTTTGTCCAAGGAAAGCACCTTACTGCTGACACACCCGTCTACAGATAGAAGTACGACTTCGACCTCGGACCTTAAGTTGCTGCTTTCGGTCATATTGCTCCTCAACCGACCTGTCCGTCATGGTAGACCCTAAGGAACCTGTGTTCCGGGCAATATAGCTCGGTTGAGTTATTACAGCAGACAAGCCCGACCATCACATCAAGGTAGCAACTAAGATCTCAATTAGGCTGGATACTTGTGTATATTTAGAAAGTAGAAAACGGTTTAAAAATATATAGTTACATATAATCCTGTCTTAGATTGGGATAAAACTAAAAAAACCAAAACGCAACATAAGTCCGCTACGTTACTGATTTTTGGTTAAAGCCATTTTAGTGGATGCTGATTAGGCGGTTGTGGTTCACGCTATCAGTAACTGTAGACTTTTTTGATATGACTCGTAATCGATCGGAATAATGCAGATTTATTTACCTTTTATTAGCAAACTTACTAGTAGTAATCATTTTCTTGATCCCGTTACTCGCGTTAGTAAATACAGAATTTTGTCTCCCAATTTACAGCATCTTGGCGTATTACTCTAAACTTACGATGAGATATACTTTCTTATGTTTTGATTTCTTTCAGGTTATTTTTTTAATTACAGCAAAATTAAGTCCACTTCCATCTATATACTGCACAGTTTTCTCACTTTTTAGTGTGGTTTTGTTTCATGGGGATCGATATTTTTACTTTTTACCAGGTAACAATGGATATACTTTTAGAAATGGGTCATGAAGAGCTGAAAGAACTTGGTGTAACTGTTTATGGACATCGTCATAAAATTATCAAAGGGGTACAGAAATGGCGCTCTAATTGTACAACACAACAGTCCCCATTAGATCCCAGTAATGATACTCGCAAATCATCAAGCACCTTATACCCTTCCCCTATTCTGCATTCTACAAGTCCAATAACAACTCATTTTCATGGCGTTGGTGTAGCTGAAGCCACTCCAACTGGTCCTGCCTATTTTCCTGCAGCAGCGGCCAAAAACACTGTGATGATAGAAATCGATTGTACAGATTCAGAATTCTTAGCTGTTGAGGAACAGGTAAAATTAAGTAACATATTGTGATTATTTCAAAATTTATGTCTTTTTATCATTTAATTTAGAGTTAGTCTTTATTACCATGATTTTATGTGTAATTTTCTTCACTAGAAATTATTTATAATTTTTGTTATCTACCAGTATCGGCAAACCTTATGGATAATATTCTTAGCGTTACGAAACATGTTTGTTTCTATTTATTCAATTAAAATTTAGTTGTCAAGCTGGTGATGTTCCCATATCATTATTTCTTAGCATACTTTGTGAGATATTAATTCACTCCAAGTGAATCCCTTGCATCCAGAAAATTTTTTATTACTTATGTCTTTGCAGAACCGTAGTTTAACGATTTTCGATATACATTTTGAGCTACTTGTTTTACATTCCAGCTATTTAAATGAAACCGTTAATGGTTTGAATCATTATTGTTATTACTATTATTATTACACTACCTTACACTAATCTGTGGTCGTTATTGTTTTTCCTTTTCTTTCTTTTACGCTCCTTACCTTCTTTTTTCTCTTCCCATTCTCATTGTTTTGTGTGGCGCATATATATTTGGTGCCGTCTTGTACCAATATTTATGTGTTCAAATAAATAAACTAATGTTTGACTAATTTTTTTCGATTGTCTTACTTTTTCGAGCGTGGATATGACCGTCTGTTGTCAGTCATAAAATACAGTAAGACTTCACATAAAGTACATTGACATTAAAATAGTTTTCTTATAAATATGTGTAATGATTATGATTAACGATTATTCTTTGTTGAATATATTTTCTTAAATTCTTTCCTTTTACTCATAGATTCAGAGCACAATAAGAGAACATAAAGATAACTGTGGTGGGATTTACAAACGATATCGTATACTAAAAGTTGCAAGAATTAGAAATAAACGTCTATGGGATCGTTATCTACACCGGTGTGCCGAAATCGCTGAAGATAATTCTGGGCATTATAACGAAAGACTCCTATTTCATGGATCCCCGTTTTTACAGTCTATCGTTATGAAGGGGTTTGATGAACGCTATGCATATATTGGTGGAATGTTTGGAGCTGGTATATATTTCGCAGAGAACTCATCTAAATCGAATCAGGTAAATGTTTATAAAAAAATTTGTCTCCATTTGTTAGTGACATTTTTGTATTATTATTTAAACACATAAACATTGGAACAAGGAGGCACCAAATAAATGCGCCACATAAATAATTCAATTTGTGTGGATGTTGGGATACTGCCCGGGTACCCAAGCCGAGGCAAGTGGTTTTCTTAGGGGGCTTCATCCCGAGCCTTTGACCAAAAGGTCTAATCCGCAAAGCAGTAGAGCAGAGGAGATTCAGTCCCATAGTAGCCAGTGACCAACAATAGGTTCATACGCCATGTGTTTCTGTAGGATACTAGAGCCCATGTGCACCATTTATTTAGAATCAGGGTTTTCCAACTCCCCTACGTAAACTTTCCATGTCCACCAACCCGATTAAAGCACCGGACATTCGCTTTTCTTCCTCTTAATTTCGTAAACAACACTCCTGCTGTGAGAAGGCAATGAGTAGAACTTCCCTGGCAGTGGTTGTGTGCACATGGCCACTTGAGAGCACTTCCAGAGGGAGAGCTGAATCTCCCCACTCTCGGCCGTACAAGGGCATAGGGGGGCACATTTTTGTATGTGTTCTGGTTTTGTTAGTATGTATTTGCCGTAAAACAAACTGATTTTTTTGGAAGTATCATCTTATGCGATCCTGACGTAATCAATCGGTTCGTCTCGTTAGGGAAGTTCCAAAAATGCTAACTGATAGATAAGTTTTGAGTGCTTTAATATTTGAGCCACTGAATATATTGAGACTCGAATAGTTCGACTTTCATGTTTCAATGGGTCAGTAGCCAGTGTTTATTGATGAACATTATGTTGGTTTTATTACATTTGGTTACGAATGGAAAACTACTTGACACTCACATTGTGAAACTATTTAGTTTTATCACTATACCATAGCAAACATCGTCGATCACAACGATCTGTGATTTTTAATTAACTTTTGGTAGTGAGGAATATGAATATATTGTTTATTCTGCTGTAATTCATCGAATATAAAAACCAATATATACTCTCGATTCAAAGTACAAAAAATATCTTTAAGGACGAGTCCTTAAACCTCTCACACTATTTCTTTTTTGTTTGTTTACATATAATTGATATTTTTACACTGTTTTAAGTAATAAATTATTATGAAAACACTTTGTTTTCATTTCATATCTTTAACAACATTAAAATAGTCATCCTAATTTCTCGTTTTTTAAATTTTATTTATACTAACCAGTATACACACTCTGAAGCTAGTCATTGTCATCCCTTTGAACACACTTGAATTTAGTAAATATTAAGTTTAAATAATTCAAGATCATGGTTCCCGAAATGAAATAAATTCATTTTATCTCAAGATTTCTTGTTAGTTAGAATTACCCTCAAACCAAAAATAATAATATGGTTACTACAATGTTTTGAAACGCTTTAGACAATGAGGTTAAAACGAATGTTCCCCATTTTACATTAACTTATAAACACTAAAGAATAGCACATTGCACATAGTGTTTGACATTGATCCATATTTGTATGTTGAGTATCATGTCATGTAAAGTAGAGCAGTTTACAACTGATGAGAATTTATGAACTAGAGTGACTTCAGTTTATCCAACGAATCTTATTTTTTGTGCTTTGTTCAAATTTATTGATGGACTGCATAAATTTTTTGGATTTTTCGATAATTATAAATTACAACAGTGATCACTATTGCACTTAAACAAAGAATAACTCGCAAAAATATCAATGAACAAAGTAAAACTGAGTTAGTTCCATAATGATACAAGAAATGAATATGTCGCCATTACTTGAAGTATTTCTGAAATTAAGACATGTCTCTTCAGTACCTTAAACATTGACAGACAGACAGTAACAACGTAGAACTTCGTACGTACGTACATCAGTTCGAGTTGCCATACCGAATTAGCACACAGATACAATTATCAATTCAAATCCCGTAGTGGAAAAGGTAGTAAGAGTATAATAAGTAGTAGTCGGAAAGATTAAGGTGCGATGTTGTTCAAGGAGTATAATCCAGTGAAATAAATTTGGAAAGAGAAAAAAAGGGACATGAAGAATTCAGAAGATTAGAATTTGGGAGAACACAAAGAGTTGATGCACCTGCACCATTGTCAACGATTTTGAGCCATGTCATTCAAGGTCTCTAACCATCGGTTCCTATCATCTCACGGATCCCAACCAGGTAGTCTACACCTGCCCGTGCGCTACCGGCCTCAAGCAGTTGTCCCTTGGGCTCTGCGGTCACGCTCCCAGGTCGTCAAGACCAACACTAATCCAATTTCCTTTTCAGGTTCCTCAAGAAATACCCTTCCACGGTGTGGGCAGCCGGGAAGTGACATCAGCCCTCATACCCGTAACAGCACACGAGACCAAGTTGGTCACATTCAAATCCTTCCTACACCTCCTAATACCTCTCTTATCTCCATGACTAACCCTCCTCACGTCTCTTTATCACCTCGCACCGCTAGGGCAAACGATTCGAGTACGTGGAACGCCATTCCTGGTCTCCTGAAACCACGCTCTAAACTACACGTAGGAGCTTTTAACGTACGAACACTTGCCAAATAGGACAGCAGGCTTCCTTAGCTAAAACTTTAGAATCTCGCGCCATCGATGTGTGCTGCGTCTCCGAAACGCGCATACAGGATCCGAGTAGCGTCATTCATTTGACCTCACCATGCCAAAATAAAGAACCGACTCGATTCACGCTTCGTGTATCTGGAAGCCCTGATTCTGCTTCCCGTGGCCTCGCCGGCGTAGGTATAGCATTGAGTCCTAGGGCAGAACTAGCTCTCTTAGAGTGGATCCCAGTAGACAGTCGTTTGTGCGCTGTCCGACTGAACGGAACAGTAAGAATCCGGAAAGATAGGGACACTCGTCGTTGCCTCTTCGTCGTCTCTGCCTATTCTCCCACTGACTGCAGCTCAGATGATGTAAAAGATGAGTTTTACAGAAAGCTTTCGGACCTTCTCCGAAAAGCTAGGCGCTCGGATGTAGTAATAGTGGCCGGTGACTTTAATGCTCAAGTAGGTAAACTAAGCGATAGGGAAAGACACCTAGGTGGATCTTATGGTGTCGTGGCTCAAAGAACAGATAATGGCGACCGTCTGTTGCAGCTATGCTCAGATAACCGCCTGTTCCTTGCAAATACTAACTTTAAGCATAAGGAAAAACATCTTTTAACATGGCGACCCCCTAATTCGTCCCAACGTTGGACCCAAATAGATCACATCGCTATCAGCCACCGATGGAGGGGCTCGATAGAAGACTGTCGCTCATTCTGGAGCACATGCTTAGATTCAGATCATGCTCTAGTGCGAGCGCGTATTTGCTTGCGTCTTACTGGACGTAGGAAAGACGCTGCAAGGAAACCTCTTAGGGCCTACTTAATGATAGTCAAGCTAAGAGTATATTTCAGGAACAACTAGGAAAACAGTTAGGCAGCCATGTATGTGATGCCCACCCCGAGGCAGCATGGAATGATATCCGAAAAGCTGTGGAAACAGCAGTGATATCTGCTAGTAAGGTAACCCGTAAGGTTAGGGAGCAACACTGGATCTCAGCAGCATCTATCGCACTGATAGATGCTCGGAAACTCATTCCACCTGGCTCTGAACATAATGAAGAGCGGAGTCAGCTTAAGCGCAAGCTGACAAGAAGTCTACGCAATGATCGCGAACAGTGGTGGGTAGCGAAAGCAAGAGAGATGGAAAAGGCAGCGGCAATAGGTAATAGCAGACAATTGTTCAGACTTGTTAAGGAAACCGGTATTAGGAACCGACCGTTAGCGAAACAATCTCAGAGAAAGATGGACATATTATACATTCTCAATCCAGGAGATTGGATCGATGGGCAGAACACTTTAGGGATCAGTTCAACTGGCCTTCAGCCACATTTCGGTTTCCCACGATCTCCAGTCAACCTGAATGGCAAGTTAATGTAGGTCCTCCGACTCTTTACGAAGTTGAAAAAGCCATAGGAAATCTGAAACGAGGGAGAGCAGCAGGCCCTGACAGGTTTACTCCTGAGATTTTTAAGGATGGTGGTCCAGTATTAGCAATGAGATTAACTGAGGTCTTAGGTAGAATTTGGGAACTGGACGTAATCCCATCTGACTGGTCTCAATCACTGATTGTGCCAGTCTATAAGAAAGGACAAAAGTCCTCTTGTGACAATCACAGAGGAATCAGTTTGACTAATATAGTGTCTAAAATATTAGCTTCAATAATACTTCGACGCCTAACCAAAGCTCGTGAAGAGCAGACTAGAGAAAACCAGGCTGGTTTTCGACCTGGACGTGGTTGTATAGATCAGATATTCACACTACGTCAGGTTCTAGAACACAGACACACATTCAGACGCCCCACAATGGTAGTATTTCTCGACCTTAAGGCGGCATTCGACTCTGTTGATCGTGAGGTTCTATGGCAGTGTTTGTCACTGAAAGGAGTACCAAAGAAGTACATTAACCTTATAAAGGCTCTCTACTCGAACACAACTGGTAGAGTGAGAGCTTATGGCGAACTGTCATCAGAATTGATTACCTCAAGTGGTGTTCGTCAGGGCTGTCCACTCTCCCCATTCTTGTTCAACTTTGTGGTCGACGTACTTTTAGAGATAACACTCTCCTCATCTAAATTTCCAGGGGTTGAACTTCTACCGGGAGGTTCACTTGTTGACTTAGAATATGCTGATGACATAGTTTTATTTGGTGAAGACGCTGACAAAATGCAGAGTCTTCTGACCACTCTAAGCAACAATGCAAGCATGTTCGGGATGCGATTCTCTCCCTCGAAATGCAAAATGTTGCTTCAGGATTGGGTTACATCGACACCCGAACTAGTGATAGGGAGTGAAGTAGTTGAGTGTGTCGACCGCTTCACTTATCTTGGAAGTCTCATCAGCCCTTGTGGTCTGGTGTGTGACGAAATCTCAGCACGGATACAGAAGGCTCGACTAGCTTTTGCCAACTTGCGTCATTTATGGCGTAGGCGAGATATCCGTCTATCAACCAAAGGACGTGTTTACTGCGCAGCAGTTCGTTCCGTCCTACTTTATGGCAGTGAAACATGGCCGGTAAGAGTAGAGGATATCCGTAGGTTACTAGTATTTGATCATAGGTGTCTTCGAAACTATTGCTCGTATATCATGGGACCATCGAGTAAGTAACACAGTTGTTAGGAAACGGGTACTAGGTAAGGATGGCAAATCAATTGATGAAGTAGTGAAACTTCATCAGTTGAGATGGCTGGGACACGTGTTACGTATGCCCAACGACCGACTGCCTCGACGTGCTATGTTCAGTGGTATAGGAGTAGGTTGGAAGAAAGCTAGGGGCGGCCAGACCAAAACATGGCACAAGTCCATGAAGTCACTGACAAGTGGACTGAGTCATGTTGGTAGGTGTAGACTACCTGGTTGGGGACCGCGAGATGATAGCAACCGATGGTTAGAGACCCTGAATGACATGGCTCAAAATCGTTTGCAATGGCGCAGGTGCATCCACTCTTTGTGTTCTCCCAAATTTTGATCTCCTTATTCCTCCTTGTCTCCTTTTTTTTCTCTCAAATTTATTTCACTGTATTATACTCTTTAAATAACATCTCCAAACACTAATCTTCCCGATTACTGCTTATACTCTTATTACCTCTACCACTACGGGATTTGAATCGACCACTGCATCTCTGTGCTAATGTGGTGTGGCAACTCGAACTGATGTACGTACGTACGAAGTTCTACGTTGTTACTGACTGACTGACTGAGTCTACACCTAACAACATGGATCAATCCACTTGCCAGTGACTTCATGGACTTGTGCCATGTTTTGATCTGGCCGCTCCTGGCTTTCTTTCAACGACTGAGTTACAAGCTCAGAATTAATTTATTCATTTTGATACTGTACCTTGTCATTAAGCGGTGTGTGTTTACGACTTTGCATATTAATTTTTATACCCCGTTGCGTACGTAATCGTCACAATCCCAATTCGTTCATGTGTATATCCACATTCTGTACACTCATCATGTGATTCATTAGTTGTTGTCACAACAGTTACTCTAAATACTACTTTCCCCAAGTTTATGTTTCTTGATGTTAACATCTCTACTCTTTTTAGTACAAAAGTATACACCACCAAGTTATGAACTTAGTCACTGCTGTGCAACTGAGATCCCTTTTAAGTGTGACAAATGTTATGTCGAGCCTTGCCTGTCACATTATCATTTTTGTAGCCAAGATGTGTCATATTTTTTATACAACCACCAATCAAGGCAATTTTCGTATTAACTGACCTCCACTCAAAAGTTAGGAATAGGCCTAAAATACATTCTTTAATTACAAATCTTAAAAACGTGGATAAGACCTTGAAAACTTATTTAGATACAATATGTAACGAAAGTTAGTTACATAGGTAATCAATATTTAGTGCTTTAAATGCGTAATCTTCTACAGCTTACGCATTATTTGCTTCCAAGTGAATATGTCCATTTTCCATCCTAGTAATTACTTTTCCTATCATAAATCCAAGATTATTTATTTAGCTTATCATTATCTTTTTTAGTATGTATATGGAATTGGTGGAGGAGCCGGTTGCCCAGCTCACAAATCTCGTTCATGTTACATTTGTCCACGTCAGTTGTTATTATGTCGCGTTGCTTTAGGACGGTCATTTATTCAGTTCAATGCCATGAAAGTAGCTCATGCACCCCCGGGCCACCATTCAATTGTTGGTCGACCAAGCGCAGGTGGACTCAATTTCTCTGAGTATGTCATATACAGAGGTGAACAAGCCTATCCTGAATATCTCATCACTTATTTGTTAGTCCCACCTGATCCAAATGATAATGAAAATATCACTGATCAAAATCTACTAAATCCTCTTACTCATAATACAAATATTGGACTTCTACCACCCACTAGTAACAGTGGTATCACTAGTACATCATCTAATGTTGGTGTGGCTATAAACTCAGTACCCTGTTACACTGTGCCTTCAAACCAAAAAATATTGTAACGAGTTCCTGTGATTCATCTTGTGTACAAACGCCTGTTCAGTCTCTGAAACTGCCTGTTGCAAATACTGCTACTTCTGGTTCTCTGGTTACAAGTGTAGCGCCAGCTGATAGACAGTTGTCAGATCCTCTTTCTTCTATTGCATCTACAGCCCTAATCTCCTCTGCTCCAGGAGGTCCAAGTTGCCATTCAATCCCCTAACAATGTAATGTCTGTGGTCACTATGTTTTCACACTATTTTATACTTTGCATTCTATAGTATAACCTTTTGACTTAGACTACACTTAAACTATAGTTGATTTCTTGCTAGATTTAATTAATTATTCTTTGCCTCTTCCCTTAAATTCCTTATATCTTTCACAAACATAAACACCGTTCTTCTGTTTTGCAAAAGTGATTTAAAACCGGTCGGTTTCTGTACAAAGTACCTAATTTATTTAATAATTGACTTACATAACTTTGTATATTTGCATGAAACTAAAGAGCTTCATCTAGTAATAAAAATGACCACAAATGTGACTAAATTATCTATGGTAAAATGTTTACCATGCTTTTATAATAAAAATTTATTTCCCAATGATCACTTGAATGTCTGTCACTATTAATTAATAAAACTGTGCACATTTTTTGTCTTCTAATTTGAAAGTATGTTTATCTCCTTCTTCAGCTCATCTGTCTAAAACGTTGTCAATACCATGACACATATCTTTAATAAATAGATAAGATTTCAGCTGGTAATCTGGTTTGTCAAGATATAGTCCGCTGATGGCCAAAGGAATGGGATAAAATACTGATTCATGCTTAATATACAGTCTGTTAATAGTTGTTATATAGGTAGGTAGATAGTTGAGGTGATTCTTAGATTACCAGTCACTCGAATCCTATAACTATATTTTAGAAAAAGTGAATCGCTTCCGGTAGTAATTGTTGTGTCCTTTTGTCACTTAACAATATTAACTGATAAGTCTGCTGAATGACCGCCGCTTCTAATAACTCCCTGGCTTAATGTACACGGCAACAAGAACTTAAGAGAAAATGCGAGAAGTTCGAAAAGAACGCTTTATCACAAGGTTAGTTTACATACAGAAAAACGAGACTATTTATAGAGTTACACACGATCTTGGTTTTCTGGGACCATACGAAATATAGTAGTATATGTAGATATTCAATCAGGAACGTGACTTTTCCTAGATGTTTCTAAGAAGCTTCTATTCGATGCCCGCAAGCGTTTTCTGGGTATTTTCGAACCGTCAGAGGTTAATAGTGTAACCTCTGTATGGGTAGTAAGCTAGCAGGTAATTTGCTTTGTTGATTAAGTCTTAACTTATATTGTCTTGTAAACTTGTGTGGGGAATTATAAAGGACGTAATCCTGGCTAACGTGACTTAATATACGACAAATGGTCGTCCGTTTGGTTGTAAGACTACACGATACGATAAGAATTCAAAGGAGTCATTCGATACTTCTGACGGACCGTGTAACCATAATCAGTCTTAAAAGGACTAAAAAACTAGTGTGGCGTGCAAAATTACTGTTCGGAATAAATTTTAAGGTCGCTCAGTCAGTCAGCTACAACATAGGACCAGGCACATATATACATCGGTCCAAGTTGCCGTACCTCAATAACAGGAGTGAGTCTTAGCCAACGGTCCTCCTAACCATTGTTTGGTATCCAATATCTGTTTGATTCCATTGTAATTTAACTCACCACTCCTTTACCTGAAATTAATCCATATGATTTATATCAATATTGAACGTGTAAATGAGGCTCTTTGTAAACATAGATACAATTCGGTTGTCATTTACTAAATCACTTGGTATTATGTCGCATACTGTGGACGCCCGACTGATAAGGAATATCGCCTAATTACTCGACATATTACTGGTATTCTGTCAACCTCTGTGACGATAGTTAATGTATTGTCAGCACATTTATAGAAAATCTGAGTCCTGCCGAGCAAGATTTCATTCCCTTACAGAACATTATGTCAATATGATATGAAGCACTGTTTCGATACGCCTTAATTCTTGACTTATGGTTGTTAAGAGTAGTCTACACAAAAAAAACTATGAATATTCGCTCATGAGCGTTTTGGTAACATCACATTTTGGCAGATGGACCATATTTTGAATAGTGCTGGACTCATATTAAGGCTTTCAGAATAAAAAGAAGCATTCTATAAGACTGGGAAAAGAATGATCATATCATGACACCGTACTATTTTATAGTGGTACTAACCCTCAGAATCAGCTGTATATGTTTTCAGGTTGTAAGTCTTTAAGCAAGGGATTATTGAATTTTTCGGTGTTACCATAGCCGTGTTTTTATTTCAGCTAATTTTCCTATTTAATAAATTTGTGTTCTCTCCATATCTTGAGTAAAATCTTTTCTCAAGGAACTTTCCTCAGATATGAGATAAGTGTCAAAGATAAAAGAACAATTAACTAAAAACGCTCACATTTGTATTGTTTTGTAAGAATTAAATGGACTAAGATTATTTTGTATTGTTTATTTGAATCTTCTCACTGACGTTTAGAACCGCAGTTAATCAGTCTCCTATTGGCGTATGTCCATATTGTGCAGATTACCCCGATGTTGCCTTAAGTCACAAGCATTATAAGGAGAGATGGATGCTGGCCAGAAGTGGAATCCAAGATGTGCGTTTCGTCCCTGAGTCAGTGTTCTCTCTTGGACTTGAACTAAGTTTATATATCTATGAGCAATAGTGATCATAATCGAGTGCGTATACAATTATTCCAATTACTTTCCCCATAGATACAGTATACAAGAAAAACTCACACTTCCCACTTTTAAGTACAGTAGTAAGAAATAATAAAAGAAAATTAAATTCAGCACAAAATATTATATTAAGTTCGTTTTACTAAAAAGAACAAACCAGTAAGCACAGTCTTCTAATGGATCAATTCCAAATATATATATATTATGATCTTCATATCTGTGATGGATTTTAACTAGCTGTCGTCAATTATTTTGTTTATCCACGTACGCACTTCACTCACTGTAGCAGCTACGTTATCTTCGAATTTCTATTTATATTGGAATTTTTTAAAATCAAATAAAAATTTCGGAAAAATGAATTGTGATTTCTGGATCTTTATATATATATATATATATATATATATATATATATATATATATGCACAGGCTCTTTTATTTTATCTTCTTTACAGTATCAAAAATATATAAACTTATCGAATCAGTAAGATTTGGCTTATTTTTCACTTCACTAATTCCGTATGATTATGATATAACAATTATTAGTAGTGTTTCTCAGGGACGTTTATTGTCAGGTAGTCTTATTGTGGTATGTGGTACTTATATTGACATAAGTAGTATATGATGTTAGTCGTGAACAGAAGGTCTGGTAGCAGAGAGACAAGAGGATCGAACAGTAAAGAATGGGAACAGAATGCAATTTGTATGAAAATTCAAGAACAATGAAGTCTGAGTCATTTTGAGACAATCGATGGACATTTTACAAATTACATATTTACTATTTGATTGTTAGATTTTATTAACAAGTCCTGTACTTTCAAGTCAAATACATTCGATTGTCCCCACTCGTGTTCTGTTCACTACATTATTACCTATCCACTTTGCTACTTGTCTAGATTTTAGCTCGGCTTTTTTCTTTTGAATAATTTAAGATATCCCGTCTGAGTTTTTCTACATGATTAGTAGTATGACCGTGCAAAATCAATCATCTCTTTATTTAAATTATTAAGATCAATAAGTATCCTAATGAGGATAAAACTTTCGACTACGGAAAGAGCTTTTATGAATTACAGAGATTTCCTAACTTAAGAATATCGTAATCAGTTATTTCTTATTTTCAATAAGTCAACCGGAATCCTATCTGAATTAAGTCTTCAGGAATAACGCTAAGAAAATAAAGCCACTCCTAAATTATTCAGTTGAATTCACCACCTCATTTTTACTTCAGTCTATCATTTGATGTCTCATTAAACTAGAAAAAGACTGAACCATATCAATAAGAACACAAAATATTTCATAAGCTTTTCCTATTTTCCAGCTTTGGTCTTATTTCAGAAGCCACAAAATATGTAGAAAAAGCAACCGACTAATAGAAATGGTTCGCAATTTCAAAGTAAATATGGCGTCATCCAACACATTGAAATACCTGTCACACGACAATCAATTGAATCTAATTTAGTCTAAGTAAATGTGAACAGTAATTTAGCGTGTCGACCAAGTCATTAAACCTTGACAATGCTGACAACTTGGGTATTGAGCTGTGATGATAAATGCGTCTCAGTGTTCCTTTGTGATGACTAATGCAACTACAGAAAACCCATATTGAAACGAATTTTCTCTATTGAACTGGATACGATAAATGTTCTCTTCATAAAATACTATTCACAATCGAACATACATTGGAAACCGATGTCTCTAAGTGCATATAACAAGTTTATTATTTTACAGAAAAGGAAGACTGGTGAAGAAAGTAAATTCGTATGTGTTATTACCAATATTTCTCAACAGCTGTTTGAAGAAATAAGCCGAAGAAAATATATACATCTAGGTACATTGTATATCATTCCCCTTCACCAGTTTGACTTAAGAACTCATTTTATTATGAGTACTTCGAATTCAAAATCCATTAGCTTTCTAACAATATCCTTTCTCTCTATAATAAACTTGTATATTGACAACTTAGTACTATCTTATGCACTAATTCCATATAACATAAGTCAGTCATTAAGTGACAACTAATTACACTAACAAAGTAGAATTATTTGTGACCAGTGAAAGTAGGCGAATACAAACCGTCGTCTATAATATATATATATATATATATATATATATATATATATATATATCAAAACTAAATAATATCAGAAATTTATTTTATCAATGATTTCATCATCATTGTATTCGAATTTCACATTGTGTAACTGTTCTGTACTTTGTATCGACAGACTGTAATCCTAACCTATTATTTAATTTTAATATAATCAGTCGGATATTATTTGAATGTATCACATGACTGTATCATCCAACATCTAGATAATACTAACTTATTATTACACATTTTATTATGATAAATAGGTCTATAATAATAATAATAATAATAAAAGAATTTCACTCAATAAATTTCCTTACATCATAGTTCCATTTTAATTAAGAGCTTAACGATTTGAAGAAAAAAATCAATCCTAATTTGACATTTCTTTTTTAGTTCTATTCAGTCATATTGAATACATTTTTTCTAAATATTTTTTTGTCTATGGAACAATATACACATGAATACTAATTAATACAATAATAATTTTGTTTTTCTTATTAAAAAAAAAAAAGAAAAGAATCAAATATCTCCAATATGAACAGTGATCAATTAGATGGTAATAATATATTGACTAACTGATAATCAATCAATTAAATTATTGAAATAAATCTAAAATTTTAATTGTCAATAAGATTTAAAGAGATTGATCGATAAATTCTAAAGTTTCATTGAAAAAAAATAGATTTTGAATTAGATTTTTTTTTAAAAATTAAATGAATGTTAACAATATGATATTGTTTTGTTTGAGGAAGAAGTACCTTAACAGACATGTAGTTTTAATTTCTTTTTTTCTATATTTATATTGACAGTTGTCTTCGCTCACATATTTCTTCTTTTGTATAAGGTCTAAGTCTTTAATTAAATATTTGTGACCTGATGGCAATAATGAAGCTGTCAGTTAATGATTCACATATTCCAAAAGAGACTAATCGAAACTCAGGCCTTAAAATCAGAAACAAACGGATTTACATAAGTAAAAAATAAAATTCATCCCTGTCCCACAAGCCCTTGGCTCATCATCTGGATCTACTTGGAACTTAGTGTCGATTTTTATTAAGACACTGATTTGAGACCCTTAACGTCAATAACATGAAGATTCAAACACTGTATCTGTCTAAACTCTGTAGATAAGAGGATAACACATTAGAGTTTGAGATCAAAGGTACTATGTTTGAGTCCTGGTTTGACTTAAACACTAAAATGCAGGTACATCCAGTAGACGATATCCAAATAGGATCCTAGATCTCGTTGCCAGTTATGAGCCGTGTTTACTAAAATGTGTCGCTGTAATCCTTAATAATTCGTTTACATTTTCATACAATTAACCTTCTAAGATGTATAGGTATCATTACCAAGGTTTGATTTGATAATTTCGAATAAGTTGAGTATTGGGTAGATTGTTATAAATAAATAATATATTTGTAATGTCCCAATGAGCAGAACAATTAGATTTTCTGACGTTTCGTGACTTAGTATAACTCACTTCTTCAGAAAACAAATAACCAAATTAAAATTAATCCCAGAAGTCACTTACACTAAGTCACGAAACGTCAGAAAATCTCATTTCTATACTCATTGGGATATTACAGATATATTATTTATTCTAAGACGTATGCTTATGTATGATTGTATATATGTGCTAGCCTACAGTTATCCTGTGGGATTGTTTATATAGTATGAGTATAAATACTCAAATACCCACTACTTATCCAACTCGAAAAAACTTTGTTGTGGTGAAGTTCATCACTGTTGTTCCTACAATGTATGGGCGATAGTGTTGATGGTTCTACAAATAATGTCTGACCTCCATCACCTGGCAGATTGTTTAGCAGAAGACATCCGCCACTGTTCAACATTTATCATTATAACTAAATTACAAATCAGAAACCTGGCTTCTCTATTTTGAAAATATAGTAAGGGATAAACAAAAAAACACTTATATTGAATAAAGTTTATAATGAATATTAGTTCGACACATACTGACTTACCGGTAGTTTTGGTGGGTTATCAATCTCGTTAAATGGGGTTCTAAATGAAGGTGCGTAATCAAGTGATTTTATATAACATTTCGGAGCATATTGTACTGAAGTGATAAAGTCTGTACTCTGTACTTGATTAACCAGAAAACAAACTTCATTCTCTATAGAAGAACAACTGTGAACTAGATCACGATTTGGTGTTAAGGCCACTGGTGCTGATATCCAATGAGATGGAGGGGTATTAATGCAACTCTAGTAAAAATAAGCAAAAATCAATTTTTTTCAGCAAACTCATAAACTTTGTACCACATATACAAATCAGCTTGGGATACTCTTGTTTGTCCCAAAGGTTATTTATTCTTAATATTGAGTGGGTAGTATGAAATCAGGTTTCAAAACAGTTGTCTCCTAATATATGTATATTTTTAAAAATGGTCTAAACATTATCATATCAAACAAATTGGTTAGAACACTAGTTTTTTACTGTAGGGAATTAAAACAAAATGATAATCAAAGAACGTTTGGTAGGAAGGTGAATACTGTATCTCATGTTACAAGTATTACTATGCTTTATCAATTGTTTACAGTACTGTGTGAAACGAACCGAAACATGATACAGCGCTGTTGACGAGTAATTATTATTACCATAAAATCCTGTTTTGACTCATCAATCTTCATCTGAAATAAAAGTGCGATGATTGCGGTACTAGGTAAATTCATTTATCTTTTCTATGTTTAGAACGACTGTATAAATTTATTCAAACAGTTCTTCATAAAATAACTGTAAATATCCAAATATCTGAAACTGAATTCACAATATGGTTCATGTTGTTTAGGTCACAGGTGTACTACATTTTGAGTAAGAAAATCCAGTTAGATGGTTTAATGTTTTTAATGAACTAAAAGTGAAAGTAATATTTGAACAATAAAAAACTCATGAGAAGTTGTTGATAGAATTCTACTAACTTTAAGCATTCTGTACAGTCATCTAGGTTTTGTAACTGAATAAAAAGAAACACTTAAATTATTACTTACATGGTGTTTCTTCATGAAATTTTTAGTCCTTAGCAGAAGATTTGGGGTTACTTGTTTTTGTATATCAGAAGAATACTGCTTTTTAATCTCATCGTTTTCACTAAAACCAGTTAGACTTTTTCGAGACTGTTCACTATTAAAAAGGTGAAAATAAATGAGTAAGTTAACTAAACTGTAATTTCATTCGTATAAACTTTAGTGATATTACTGCTTCTTCGTATTCTTAAGAGCTCCAGCATTTTAGTTAAAGAATATGCAATATTATCTTCTAAGAAATGAAAAATGTCTAGATATTTAAAAGGAAGGAGAAAGTAGTAGAAATGTCATTTCCAATGAACTCGCTTTTTTACTGGAATGCTAGCAGTTTAAAACAGATGTGATCTACAGTTTCTAAACAGTTTTCAGTCGTACGGTCAAAGTTCACCAGGTAGTTTAAATCAATCTATGAAGGATCGGAACGTTTTGCGCAATACAGAGAAAAACTGATGGGAGCATAAAGCGAAAATAATTAGTGAGAATCGCAGGAATCCAAATAAATCATCTTTTTCCGTCTGAAGATTAAGTCATTTAAAGTTCAAGTTGCTATCATATATGGTAGAAATATTTATAACTCCTATCAGTATTTAAACATCAACTGAATCTTTTGGTAGACGTCTTTTTCTCGATAATTCTTACTTAAAATAATCATGCCCTTACTCATCCTCTGTTTTTTTCTCCCTCTTGACTACTCTCTAAAATAAATAACTCCATATAATCTTCCATAAATAAATATGTTATCTTTCTGTGTCATTAATGAGTAAAAATCGACTAAGAACCATTCGCAATATTATTTCAAAACTAAAAAGCTTTCAGAAAACTGTACGCGAGGCGTTAGTAATAAAAGCCATTCGCCCGACAGACTAATGCATTATTTATAAACTTCAGAATCCTGAAGTGTATAAACTACAATAAACCCTATTCGATTGACCGATAATAGTATGAAATTGCTTCTCATCCCTATACTGACTGTATATCAAACGAACATATAGTAATAGGTAAATTTTTTAGGGTCTTATGAAACAGTCGTCAAATGTCACCTCTACATTAAAACATAAAGTATGATATCTATGGAACAAGTGGTAAGACAACTTTTTGTGCACTATGAAGATATGTTAAGGCCAATTTCATAAAATTTGTAAGACTTCGAATGATCCTAGTAAAATACACGCTACACGAAATCATTCAAAATATTTGAAAATGCGGTTGGGAATGAGGTCATTTTAGATTATTTTAGGGACTTCATATTAAAGTTTTGGGTGATCGCGTTGTAATTCTAAACGAGTCTGTTTTTAAGGAAACTTGTGAAACTTAACCGAAACCTAAAAAATCTCTCTTGAATTTGCTCGAGAATAAATCTATTATATTTTAGGATTCAAGGATAAAAGTAAATTAGGTTTCGGAATATTTCAAAGTATTCTAATTTCAGTTCAACTTCTTGACTGTTCAGTTTTTCCTCAAATTTAAGAAGCTAGTCATGATTCACAGATGGGGCTAACAGATTAGTTGACTGACAACACTGAATTAATTCTTGGACCATCTAATATTGACTGGATTTTATTTGCTAATGACAGAGATTAAACTTTACTATCTAAATATCTGTGTATGTGAAATATCGGTCACTGACATTAATGATTTCAAGTGTACAATTTGATATGTCAAAACCGAAATTTTATCTATCATGTCTAAATCTAAAGTATAAGGTGTCGTTGCAAGCAAAATTATCCCTAATTCTAACAGACTAGTTTAAGACTGTTCGCAGTCACTTATTTTAATAATGTTAAACCCGATTATTGCTCAGGCGAATGTAACTTTCAGGGAAAAATGATGCACATAAATATCTTGATTGAAAATATTTTGAGATTTTATATGTGAAGTCCACCTGATACAGAACATACATTCGTGTAGCTTTTAGATAAAAACATTGCCTAACTATAATATACGCTCTGCATATAACTTCAGTGTCAAAAAACAGTTCACTTTGTTTTTTCTCGAATATCATTCGTGGCCGTATCGAAAGCCACTTAGTTTGCACAAAAACTCAATCAAAAATAAAATGCTAACAATAATTTTGGAAACTATATTTTTATGAAAGATCCTATTTACTTTAGTTTAAAGACTAAATTCAACCATAAACAGAGAGAACCTTAGCATATATATATATATATATATATATATATCAATTCAGCCTATAGTAAACAGTCATAGTTAGGAGGAAAATATTCAAGAAAATTGCAGTAGTAATCAAAATCTGAGTGTAGGAAGTATAATTCCAAAAGAAATCAGTGATAGTGATAATAAAAAACTGTAGTTAGGACCAAGCAGAAAAGATTTTACTAGTCCACCTAAGTCCATTTATTTGACCCACGTTAGCCATGATCTTCAAATACAAATACCAGTAATTTTCTGAATTACTACCAAGATGTTTGAAATTTCTAACACAGTTGAGCCCAACAGCAATTAACTTCATACAGTAACTCAGGACAATGTGTCCCTGTAATAACTAGCTCAACACCCATGAGTAAGTGTAGGCAGAGAGAAAAACGCTCCGTGTAGTAAATGCAATTTGTAACTACACTGCCTTAATTACGTAGTCCGTAGAAACTAGAAATAATATCAGCTGATGTCACATCTGCAAGTCTTAGATGTTTTCAGTAGTTTAAATTAATCTCCGAAATTCTTTAGAGCCTGAGTGGTGCTTACCTAGAATGAATTTTTTGAAATCTAATTGTTCTATACAGCAGCAATGATTTTTTATTTTATTTACACCGAATTTCGGCTTTCAAACCCAAATTTTTTCAGATTTAGGGAGAAATCATTATAATTACAGATCTACTCTCTTAGCTAATCACTTACACCTGTTGCCACTCGAGGCAACTACGATTCTCCAGCCCAATCTGTTCTGGGCTCTACTTCATAGTAGTTCCTAAGTGCTATTCGTTCTTTATGTGTCTGCCCCAAATTAACGGTGTAATGTGTTCTATGGTCTGTCACTTTTCATGTTGCCTGTTGGATTTCAAGTTAGGGTTTGCCTTGTGATGCAACTTGATGATTTCCACTAAGAATAAATTATCCACCACCAACGTCTTTATTTTATTTCATCCTCATCGAGAAGCTAGCTTGTTCTCTGCCACAGGTCACTGCTGATGGTGTTTGCCCAACGGTTTTGAAATATCTTGTGTAAATAGACGTTTGTAAATAGCTGTAAGTTTTGACAATGATTAAGGTTGTTCTTAAATTTCTGCTCATTAAAGTAGAACTGTCTTGACGTTTACATTCAAGATTCTGACTTTGATGTTGGCTGACAGTTATTTTGAGTCCCATATGTCCTCAAGTTATAAAAATGCTGCTCTTGATTCGTCCCTCCTTGCCTTTACATCTGCATCAGATCCTCCTTGTTTATCAACGACGCTGCCCATGCACGTAAAACTTTGCACCTATTCCGGAGCCTCTCTATCAATCGTGATTGCGTTGGTGCTCTGTGTTGCATTCCGAGATCTTGCTTTTCCCCTTGTGTATTTGGGGCTACTGCCACACTATCTTCGCATCCATTTGTTGCTACACATGAAACAGAAGAGTTAGTTCATATTTAAAATTCAGATCACCTAGTTTAATCTAAGATGTCCATTATATTCAGTGCTTCCCCTGAGATGTAGAATTCTTCATAATTCAGTTAACCACCAACAGAAAGGGAAGTAAGGAGAGTAATAAGACTGGTTTGACGCTATTTTCTACTTGAAAAACACCTGTGAGTCCTCCTCCATGCACAAAATGTTAGTGTAGTCCGTCGTATGAATCCCAAATAGTGCTGACAATCAGATATACATCATACTGTCGAAGAAGATTCATTGAGGTTCTCTCATCGACGCTATCAAGTGCTTTCTCATATTCGAAGAAGCTGATATATAGTGATGATTTCCATTCGATTACATGCTCAACAATTATCCGTAGCGATGCGATTTGGTCGATGCATGATCGATCTTTAAGAAATCAAGATCTTTGATTTTAAAGTTGGGCATCTACTGAACTTTCCACTAGGTGTGAAAACACTCTCTTGAAAAATAATTTGATTGTAGCGTGGTGCCTCTGTAGTTTTCACACCTACTAAGATCGCCGATCTTCTATATCCTGATAAGGTAGGCCTGCTTCCAGTCTGTCGTTACATATTTTTCCTCTCAAATCTTCCTGACGAAAATATGGGGCATTTTAGCAGTAACTTCTATGCGTGAGTTCAATTCTTTTGCTGGTATGCAGTTTCGCTATTTCGCTTTTCCAATCTTTGCTTGTCTGGTGGTCATGGTTACTTTTTGATTTTTGGTGCGGTAACATCTATAGGTCAGTCCATGTGTGTTGCTTCAATGTCCGGTGAATTCATTTGGGCTGGTCTATTCAAAATCTCTTCAAAGTATACTTCCTACCTGTTCTGCTCCACTCGAATCTCGGTGATTAGGTCGTAGATTTTTTCCCAACCGGTCGCTTTACTTTACTATACTTTCGTATCATATTGTTTTTATATACTTCACCCTCTTGCAGATTTTTCTACTGTTATTGCTCAGTCAACATATTTCCGCTTATCGATTCTAATGCTCCTTTTCACTCTCTCGTTTGCTTCAGTGTATACAGCCTGCATCTTGCCTTTCTCTGAGCTTATTCGAGCGTTACTATTTGCTATCTTCTTATCCCTCCCTTCTTGAATCTTACCCAGGTTATCGATAGAAATCTACTCTTTACTCTGATGCTTCTTAAGGTCTAACACTTTCTGGTGTGCAGATTTTATTGGTTCTTTTATCTTTTTCTCGTTTTTCTTTATAATTGTCTTCCTCCTCTTTGAACAGAACTTGTAAGTCCTGAGACTTAGTGTTGAGAGCTATCTTGAATTCACTGAGCTTGTTAGCATCCTTCTGCAATTGTCTAGTTCTTCTTTAGCCTTAGTTTCATATAGGTCACAACCAGGTAATGATCTAAATCTATATCAACTCCTCTTTTTATTTTTATGTTAGCTAAGAACTTTCAGGATGTTTTGTCGATGTACATGTGTTCAATCTGTTTCTCTATAGTGTTACCCCGTGAAACCTATGTAGCTTTGTGCATAGGTTAGTTTCCATTCGGACCTTACTGGTAAGATCTTCCATTGGGATAGTCATATCCAACCCTGCCCATTTCTCTGCGATTAACTGCAGTTTTTGATAAAATTGATCCTAATCGTCTTCTTCGCTTTCATTGGTAGTGGCATAACAGTGGATGGTATAAAATATAATCCCCTCCTCTTTTCAAAGAATGATTTAATGATTCTTAATCCAAGAGATTCACATCCTATAAGTGCTTTTATTGCATATTTGAACAAAATTCGTGCAACTTCTTGTGTGTGCAAAGCACTTCCTTCTTCATGACCAGCATACCATAGCACCTGTCTCGAAGCTAATCTTTTCTGCCCCACTTGCTTTCAATAGGTTTTTTTTATCCCGAGCATCTCCAAACTTTGTTTTTTGATTTAAGCAACCAATAATATGGTCTTACTGCTCTTCCACATTGTTCAAAAATCCCATTAACCTAAATTATTAGTTGCTCTGCTTATTACAAGGGCCAACAACCTCGTGGCTTCTAAATAATCCTGGCTTTCATGATGAGACATCATAATTCTTCTAGATGAAAACCGTTCAGCTTTTGGAGTAGAAATTAAATGGTTCAAATTAATTTTTAGTTAGCGTTTTCTAGCAAGGACGTTTTCTGCAGGATGGGATTGCTAATGATATGCTCATCCTTCCACTATTATACGGGCTTATGACCAGCATTAAATTTGAGAGGGCCCTAGAAGGAGTAAGATTTGTTCATCAATGAATCTTTAGTTAAAATATATTCTTTCTCCCTAAAAACTCAAGATGGAAGTTCAATCAAACGTTAAAAATATTGATAATTCAGTGTTGACCGTCTTTGTTATTAAAACGAGCTAAACTTCAAATGCTTCCTAAACAACCATGCCACGTTTTCAGTTTACAAGCATCACAATTTTATATATATTGAATTCTACAAACTTTTCTATCGATGCTTTATTCTCATGACAATTCATATCTAATAAAGACATTTGTGCTATCACAGTTTGTGACAAGTTTTCAAAATGTATGAAAAATTCAGGCAGATGGCAAAATTATGATATGATGAGATATCCATTTTTCACGAAATCTGGAATTTTATATTTTTTAATAAAAGAAAACCGATTTCATAGTTAATGGTTCATTTGCAATAAACTCAACCTCATGTATTGGTGCACTTCCAAAGAGAAAATTTTATAATTCCCTTTGAAAACTAAGTATTTGTAGTTCTACCGATAAACATAAGAGTCCATAATTTTCTTTTCTATATGGTGCAGTATACTTGCTAAGACCTGTTGTAATACGGGTATCATTTATGGAGTAACAACGACTTATCACTTCAAGAAACCGTAAAACAGTCATATTATAGATGATCATACCTCTTAGTAAATTTATTTATCTCCGCAATTGCATAGATATCATCGAGAAATATTACCAACACTGACTCACGATAAAACAGTAAAGGGTAGAGGACACATTAAGATTCATCTTCTTTGATAGAGTTATGAAGCATCATATTAGAATATGTAGAGATAATTTGGTAGTAACGTTTTTGAGGATAATTAAGTTACGGTGGAAACACACTAACTAGATGTGTATTTATGTCGGCAAAACTTTATTACATTCAAATTTCGTGTGTTAAAGAATTATTTCCGGTGTAAAACGTAATGAGATGGTAAAGTGTAGAATAACGAAGTCTTTGATGAGCTATTTGCTTGGTATTTGATCTCGAATAAAGTTGACTAGGTATATGTGATATCGTATTGCACTTTCAATGTTTTTATCCCATTTTTAGGCGGATAAATGTTTATAAGTTCGAAATTGATCTGAAATGTTCCAAGCTTTACAAACTTAAAAAGTACTTCGATATAAATTTATTTCATTCCGAGTGTCTGTAAAAGTCACATGAGATTTAGTATTCAAGGAAAACGAAGTAACACAACATAGTTATTTTCATGAACCCCGGGAAATGAAAATTCTTAACAACTGATGTCATCAAGCATTAAAGATTATCAATAATGCAGCTATAAAAGTGAAACTTAAGTCTCTGCACTCGCTTATAATGAAAAAAATGGTTGATGGGTTTGTTGGCTCTCTTCCTTCAGAAAATTAATTTTTACGCATACTTTTGCCAAGTATTTTTGTTTTGTATACGGATCTAAATAGATCAGTAGGTGACAAGACTAGATAAACACTCAGATTTCTACCCGGTTTATTACCTTTACCACCAAAACATCAAGCAATAGCAAAGGCGTATAAAGTGACGGAAGAAAAATGTCATTTGTTCAACTACATCACCAAACGATACTTAAAAAGTGCCAACTACATATGAACAAAGTAACAACAGGTTCATAGAGGTGATTTGTGCTAGATTTACTCGTTGTCATCGGATACTGACTCCTAACACCAAGAAAAAACACATGTAAGCTATGATCTTCATATGATTTTGGCGGAAAGTATTAACTTCATTTCGACCCCATGTTTTATTTCAGCTAACATCTGGTCGCTATCAAGGCTTCCATATGACTATCGACTGGCAAAGCTAAACATATTTCTATTGTCATATCGACGGATCAGAGGTGACTTGATCACAATTTTCAAATTACTTAGTGATAAATTTGTATTTGATATGCCTTCACTGTTTTTGTCTTCCAAAACAGATTTTACAAGGAAAACGTTCATATACCCAAAACAGATTACTTGTCAGATGACTATCGACTTTCCCGTAGAATCATGAAAAAATGGAATTCATTAACTCAACACGTAATTAAACCTCCATTTATCGATGCTCTCGAAAGAGAAATAGATGAACTGGGAGACTACTGTTTACAGGACTGACACAGGACACCTAGCCTTCTGCCTTTCCAAACTGAAATGAGAACTTCGTAAGAGGTCACGATATCGTAATTAACAAATGTAAACGTTATTAGTTAAAAGAAATATGCTTTGATGTATGAGTGTAAGCAATCACTACTATACATGTAAGAGTTGCGATTGTACTCGATAAAAGCTTTTAAACTAAAGAAATGATAAAGTACGTGGGTAAAATATCTATTTTAGCACCGTTTCGTTGTAAAAACGTGTAAGTTATTTCTAAAAGTTAAAACCTTTGAAAAAAATGACCTTTTAATTCAGTGAAAACATAAGAATATGATGGCTAAATGCATACCTCTCAGGAATTTGGCTTATGGAAATCTCTGGTATTCCTTTCAATTTCAAAACATTATGATACGTCGTATCATCAGAATTATCAAATAAACTTGAGCGATGGTCAAAGGAAGTGTCATTAGAATCTACTAGATCAAAGCCACTATTGTCAACCAATGAACTTTTATAAGACGGGGAATCTAAGCATTTGAAAAAATCTCCAAAACTCACATATAGGACTAAACTTTAGTTGGGAAACATCAGTGATATTAACGCCATCACCGGCATTGAGTGTAGAGTTCTTGATATCTGGTGAAACTTAGTGAAAAGAATCAGCCAAATGTTTTTTACATACGAGGAAACTGATATAAATCTCGAAATAGGGAATCGTTATTGTCAGATTTACCTGAAAATAGTTGTAAAAATCAAAACTTACATAAACCTCTTCGTATTTCCGGACTAGAGTTCAAGTCTTGGTCATCATAATCTTCTTAAAGGCAGAAAATATGATAATTAAACCTAAGCTTACTGTCCATGGCCAAAAAGTACACTGACTTCACGAAAACAAACACATTATTTAAATTTTGCCGAATGCGCCTTTCTAAGGTCGATTCAAATGGTTCAAATGGTTGTGGACGGAATAGAAGAAGCTTTCGCTTAACAGGCTTCCGTGTCTAGTAGCAGGGCATGACCAAATCCTCCGGGCAGGAACCTAGGTATGTTAACAATAAAAGAGGAAGAGAAATTAGTAAATCATAGTGTGATACTATCCTTGATCCTTAAGAATAGATCAAGTTGCCTCTTAAAGGACTCCTGGGAAGTTGCCTGGACTAGCTCGCTCGGCAGCGAATTCCAGCATTTGACAACTCTTAAGGAGTAGAAGTTGTGTCTACAGTCTGTTCTACTATCATGTGTCACCAGTTTTTGGGTGTTACCTCTCAGGTTAGTGTTGGAACTAAGTTTAAGTAGGTGTTTGAGAGGATGTCCAGAAGTGTAACGGATACTGTAAGCCATTAGAAGGTCATCTCTAAGACGTCTATACTCTAATGGGTAAAGGTTAAGTGAATGGAGGCGCTCTCCGTAAGGTTTAAATCTGAGTCCTCGAACTGATTTCGTGGCTCGCCTTTTGGAGTGAGGTAGGAAATACTATGTTTCCGTACTCTAAATGGGGACGAATAAAACTATTGAAGATTATGTGGAAAGTTCTTCGGTCAAACTAGCCAAAAATGCGCTTCAATGATACCAGTGCAAGGTTTGCTCGGAAGGCATTTTTGTCACAATTAGCGTAAGACTTTAAATCGTAGGGCACAAGGACTCCTAAATATTTTTCGACTTGAGATACTACTAGGGAGGAGTTACCTGAGTTATAACTGCAGTGTGTGACATGTCACAGATGGACTACTTTACACTCTGAAGCGTTGAAGGCAAGTCCGTTATCGTCTGCCCAACTTTGAAGTCGAGTCAGACCCTCCTGAAGTGCCTGTATATCGTCTTGGTTGAGTATCTCTCTTCAAAGTTTCACGTCGTCGGCAAAAAGTAATAAATCTGACGTTACCTGTTGAGGAAGATCATTTATGTAGATCAAGAAGAGAAGAGGCCCTAGTACTGAGCCCTGGGGGACCCCACTAGGACATTCCATAGCCTGAGATAAAGTGAAATTAACCCTGACCTTAAAGTGTCGATTTTTTAGGTATGAAGTAAGCCAATCGATTAGAGGTGGTTTGATATCTAGTTGTTTGAGCTTATTGATAAGACATGTATGGTTAACCTTATCAAAAGCTTTTGAGAAATCAAGGTAAATGATATCAACCTTCCCCTTGTGATCAAGAATGCTTGTCCATCTGTCCACCTCATTCAGCAGGTTGGTTATACAAGAGTAACCCTTCCTGAAACCATGCTGTTGGGGTGAGAAGAAATTTAAGGACAGTAAATAGTCATTTATACCATCGCATATCAGGGACTCCATGATTTTTGAGGGTATGGAGAGAAGAGCCACCGGTCGGTAACTTGAAGGTTCGCTACGTCGACCTCCTTTGAAAATTGGTGTGATGTGAGCCAGCCTCCAATTTTCCGGTAGTTTTCCTTGACTTAGCGAGTGTGAGAACATCATGCTAAGTGGCGTTGCCAAGATTGAAGCTGCTTCCCTCAGTATGGCAGAATTGACCATGTCTGGGCCAGGATAACACCTGGAAGGGATGCATTGGAAGGAGTACACACTTCTGATCTGGTGCAGCTGAGTGACCGAGCGCCTTCAACAAAACATTCGTAACTAAAGCAATTCTATCTTAGGGGGCATATCAAATTAGCACAACAACGGGGAATTCAAAACGTGGAATGAATTTGGTATACAAACGAAAAAAGAATATATCAGCAATGGAATACATTCAGAGAAAGACAGCTCTGTTCAAACATAATCAATAACTTTGCCTTGGATCAAATAATGACGTTGGATGCAAAACTCCGTCGATAAGAAAGTTATGGTCAAGGAGAAAATAATGTTTTAAGTCATATCACATGCATACAGTTGGGGCTTTCTCACTCCTATCCAGACACTCACAAACAGATACAAACGAAGAGATCTTACATTAAAGTTGCACATTGTTGAGGCGCATATTTATTTGTGTACAAATGCCAGACTGGAGGTTTCTAAAATTTATACGCTCACTGTGCCATTTAAGCTGTCGAGAAATGCACGTTGTACCTAATTAAGATCAATGTATTCTCTGTCTTATAAACTGTAATTTTTTATCAGGCATGTTCAGTACTTTAAGATACTCTTAAAGTGAGCAACAATTGTCATATTTGGCTAACACATATATATCTACGGTAAATGGTACTCGAAATTCCTGTAGATCAAATGAGAGTGTAATCGAAGACACTTCTGTCCACTTATATATGTTGTTCTAATTTTCTTGTTCACTGAAAAGGTCGGTGACCCACACAAGGGTGTAACTCACTAGAAAGAACATTTCAGGGGACAAATCTCATATTTGGGAATCCGTTACACTGAAATATTCGTCAAACGCAGATTTACTGAAATTCAGGTGTTTTAAAAAAAATTCTGATGGAAACCGGACTTAAGATGCAAAAGATATTTGGAGTTTCACAAATCCTATACACGTAGCACGTTCATAGTCAGAGTATACCAACCCAGTCAAATCAAAAGTCAGAAATGTAGGGGTTCGAAAATATATTTGGAACGTTATTGTTATGTTGAAGAGGATTCCGTTTAAGCTCTCTGTCAGTTGAAGGAAATGCTTAACACGGTGTACCCATCCGTGATCTGATGCAGATGGATGACCAGGTGCATTCAGCTAGGATGTGTCCAGTACACATAATAAGGTCAGCATCAATCTCGAAGACATACGAACCAAATTATTTTGAGAATTTATTTACAACTACGAACGGTTGCGTCGCATGTATCTATTTAAAATGTATGTAAGACGCTCAAATATGCTATTTACATCTCACCGGTCTGAAATCGAGACATAACTGATGATGTCACAGGTATTCAGAGTTTGACAACGCTTCTACCAGTAACACCTTCTAATATATTTCGTTCTCACCCAGAGAAATCAAAAGACAGAGTCGAGGAGATCGGAAGAGTGTATTCGGCGATTACCAATATATCGGAATTCTCTGATCTAATCTGGCTAGCGATTGCAGTTGATGTTGAGCACGGCGTTACCACACGTGATCTGGTGCGGATGCCTGACCTAGCGCCTTCAGCTAGATGAGCCCACTAAAACATACTGTCAGCATCCAATGTCGAAAACTTACTGGGCTATTTATTTTGGGGATTCATTTACCGCTACATAACTATGGCCGCCACCAGAATGTTACAGAATCGGATTTAGTGGAGGATATGTCAAATTTTTGTGAGCGAATTATTCGTGAGACGTTAGTGCGAATTTTCGTTTACATATAAGATACATATTCATTCCCAGCCTTTGATACAAAGAGATTCAATGTAAATCTGTATAACCTATATTCAGGTTTACAACTTATACCACATCCGAAGTAATTAACATTTACTAAAAACAACATTTTATGTCTTTCCCAGTTTACAAGCAATCATTATCTATGTCGTGGAATGCAATTTTACATGAGAAATGTAAGTCAAAAATATTATGCAAGCACACTCATGTATGGCAAGTCGGATTTTCGCTTTCCATCTTATGGACGGCAACAGGAAGACTAAAATTGGACAACTGGTATTATATTCATTGGTGAGTAATTCGGATAAGAGGGACAATGAAATATAACAATTGTTGATGAACACAAGATAGTAATTGAGTATTGAAATTCCTTGTGAGGATCTTCAAATGAGTACGTTTGTTTCTGTCTGAACTAGTTTTGAAACCCCATAGCTCACATACAACGCTAGGTTGTGCTACGAATATTGAAAAATTATTATAAAACTTTCAAAGTCTCTTACTTGTCTATTGGACCTCGTCCAAAGAGAACATAATTTCTTACAGACCAGCACGATGTATTAAATAGTTTCGTTTTATTGCTTTTTTGCAAACCGACTGTTGACTGCAGATAAATTCAGCTTCTTTACCTTGCAAAATTTCGACAGGTCGGGAGCGTTCCACAAGTTCCGATTGCGTCATCATTTTAGACCTGTGTAGTACAGTCTTAACTTTTGATACATTTTATCGGGTTTTTCTGCACGAAGTTGAAAATAAGTGATCAATAAGGTCTTCATCCAGAACCTTATGTGTTATGTAGCGCAACTGCGAGCCGAAGTGTTCGAACGAAATGTCGAAAATCCACAAAGTTCACCGGTGATTGTGGGCAGGTTTACGAATGTCATAGCATGCGTGTTCGTTGTTCACAGTTTGATATATATATATATATATATATATATATATATATATATATTCAAGAGCTTCTAGGTCTAAATAAACGATGATTTTGGTTAATTCTGCATTACGGGACACTGAATTTAGATGATATTCCAAATACCAGCCCTGTCTGCATAGTGACTTGAATGTGCCTCCGTAGTTTCACCAAATCTTCTGAACAAATGATATTTCCAACTTTTGAAAGCATTCATGAGGTTCGACAATGTACTCTCGGTCTTTTCAAAGTGGCATGTTCTAATGACTTGGGGAATTTCACTGCACTCACAATTATATGCCAATGGCTTGACAATTTTGTTCGCATTGGTGGCTTACTGTTTAAAGTAAGTACAAACTCGTATCTGTCTACTTTGTTTTAGGGAGGTGGGTAGTTCTACTAACTTACAGTTCGTATTCGGTAAATGACTTATATTAAGTGAAACGGAACACAGTATATACCTAGCTTTTAGCATAGGGGTTTTTTGTGGAGATTGCCATCTTTTAACCGTTTTCATCACGACCTAATTCTAGTTAAACTACTATCGAAAGCTAAAAATTAATGGAAAGCCGTCTTTTCCTTGTCCGGGACTCCTTAATAGCGCGGATTCACAACCCCATATGCGATCAAACCAAGGATTTTTGGTCTAACTAGTGGAGTTCAACAAAATCTGGTGTAAAACAATTGTCCATCTCAGACAATGGAAGATAATCGCGCGATTCCGCGAATGAATTAAGGCTAGACATCATTGGATAGCGTCCTATTGGTCTTTAGGGCCTGGCACGTGTGACTGAAGATTCTTGTTTCAGTCTATAATGGGGTTGTGGATACTCACTGCCTAGAAGTTCCATATTAGGACGAAACATCTATCCGGTGCTTCCTGGATTTTAATAGTTGTCCTACTAAGATCAATATGTGATTTAGAGTATTGTCACTAACATACGTTTTCATCGGAAAACAAAAGCGCGTCGTTTTTCAATATCATAATAATGAGTTTTCTAATTTCATCCTCTGGAATAACAGTCACAAATTGAATCTTTTTTAAATCGTCCTATCTTAATCAAGATACGTGCTGCAACTCAATTTTTATATATGTCTTATGTTTCTATCAGTTAACGTCAGCTGGGTGTCGTAGACAACATTAGAAGATCTATAGTTGTTTTTGACTAACGTATTTTCAACCGACGTATTACATTGTCTTTGATTTCAACTCTAATGTTGGTTATATGAACCTAATAATGTCAACTGATTAGTACCAAAGAGACTCAACGGTTTGTCTGTAAGCACATCATCACACATATATAAGACTAGGATGTTAATTTTGGATGACAATTTTTCCTGATTACGGGCATGAATTCTGAAATTAAACTGGTTATTAAACAACTATCTAAAACAGTGCTTCATTACATGTTTGAATACTGTTGGTAGTCAGGTCAGGTCATATCACTCAGATTATTATCTCCTGATGAATCATAAAAGACCAGTAGGAATCGACTCTGTTCTCCAAAGAGCTTTTGGTTTTATAGTTACTCTGTTCTTTAGTTCAGGTCATTTTGTATTTCGTGCTGGTTTCTTTGGGTTAAGAACGCTGCCGTACATGCAATGCATCAACTTGTCATGGGGTTTCGTTACTACGTGGCTAATTTATCAGTTATATTGTGTTCTAGATTAATTAATAGATATTAATTAAGTAACTGAAATATTCTTCATGCTTTTATTTCTCGGTTACATAGTTTAATAATGCTTTTCCACATAAAAATGCCTAATTTCAGATGAACCTTGGAACCTTTTTAACACAAGTCCAGGTTCGCCTACACAACCAATTTCTAAACGACAGTACCGACTTGCACACCAGACGTTGTGTATCACCCACATTGACTTCGAGCAACGTTTGATCGTAGGTTTTACTCAGTTAGTGATATGGCCTATCACACCAACCTTGAGACGTATTCACATAAATTGCCGTCAGTGTCGTATTCATCGCATTTTATTAGAAGCAGCTGACAATGAGTCTGCAGAGTTCGAAAGTGATCGAAAAGGGCGGAGTTCGAGTTGGGGTATTTCAAAAACCAAATTAATCCCATCGCCAACTGATCTCCCTATCCTATATACTGATCCCACCTTAGAAATTTGTGAACGTGATATTAAATTGAGAACTTTGGACAGCTTTGAACGCCGATATACCTCCGTTGTAATGTCAACCGATCCGGATGAAGATGCAGGTGAAGTAACAGTTCGATTGCCTTCAGATTTCTGGCCGTTAATTTCTCAAAAATCTCCTTTTATTATAACCATAGAATTTTCTCTTAATAAACCCAAGTCTGGATTTTATTTCGTTGTCCCTGATGGAGAAGGATCGTTAAGTGAACGCGGAGTACATGCATTTACAGCTTTTACACCAAACTGTTCTCGTTTATGGTTTCCTTGTATTGATTGCTCGGAACCATGTACCTGGAAAATTGAAGTGACAGTGTTCGAAGATTTAGTTGCTGTTGCTCCTGGAGAGTTAATAGATGCTCCATACTACACTGAAGATTTAACACACAAGACCTACCACTTTTATGTCTCCCAACCAGTATCAGCCCCTTGTATTGGACTGGCTGTTGGGCTTTTGAGATTTTTCCCGACCCACGGCTCTCCAACGGAGCAACGCACTTCTGTCCGAATGGACTATTAAACCTTTTACAATACACAATATCTCCTCTCTCCGAAATGATCGAATATTACGAGTCTATATTGGCGTCACAGTATCCGTTTCCCACGATAAAATGTGTATTTGTAGATTGTGCTTTTTCAAAGTGTCAGTCATTCGCTTCTTTGATTATTCTCTCTCTTGATCTACTGCACTCACCAAGAGTTATTGACCAAGCGATTGAAACACGTAAAATATTATCATTAGCTGTGGCCCATCAGTTCTTCGGGTGTTTTCTTATCATGGAGACGTGGTGTGATGCTTGGCTTACATACGGTCTAGCAGGATACTTATCTGGTCTGTACCAAAAACGCGTCTTTGGAAACAACGAGTATCGTAAAATTGTTCTTGATGAAATGCACTTCGTAACAGAGTTCGAGAATATGAGATATGGGATTGTACTTGACCCATCAAAATTGACTTCAAAGTTAACCTATTTTGATTTGAGCTCATCCCATGTAAGTAATGTAACTTTCATTTTACGTTCGATTTCTCATTGTTATAATATTTTAGCGTCTCTAGTTTGATTGTTCTGTATGTAAATACAGAAATCACCAGTTCACTACTAACGTCAAATACTTTAATCTCTAAGTACAGTGTATAAAACACTCAAACAAAATTCCCAGAGCGTCTGTTGTCGCCCTCAAGAAAAGACAAGCTAATAGCACTACTTTAGATTTTAAGATTCTCATGTATTTATACAAGCGTAGTAACTTTGACTTTGCCCTCAAAATCTTTGTTTTTTTTGGATAACATCATTGTTTATCGGTTAAAATACCATAACTTCCAAAGACAGTATTGCTTTTTTGATTCAGATTAACTAACTTCACGGACATTTAATTTTGGTAGTCAGATTAGTATCTGTTGAGTTCTTCCTTGATGAACTGTTTAATGTTTTTAATCAAAAAGATTTTTAAAAAATAGTGGTTTGTAAATGTTTTCATGTATGCTAAGTCGAGTTCATTATTATAGTTTCATAAACAACCATTGACATACTTCCGGTTGATTAGATATTAACATATACTAGTGCACGTTCAATCTTATTTGAAAAATATTCTAACCACTGACTGAGAATTCCGTAAACGCTTAAGTGTTGTCAAAAATCGTTTACAGTCTGAGTATTTTATAAAGAAAACTTATTTCTCTTATGTAAGTCTGGTATTGTCATTGAGTTGTTCTCTTTCAAAACAGATACTCAACCATAGCGTGTTAATTGATCACATAAAACCATGTAAAACTACAATGGGAATCCGTCTTCTGAAAATGCTTCAGTGCTCTGTGGTTTAGACTTTTGGATTAAAAATTCGGGGTGGACGACTGCACAAGAAAACCCCTACGCGAATTTGGGTGAGTGTGCAGTACCACTGTCCTTACGCAATTGATAATTTCGAATGAAGTTAATAAACAACTCATCTTGCACTCCAATCATGGCACTTTTCAACCGTAGTTATTTTATTATAAGTAAATTTGTTTCATGTTATCCTAACTTTCTATTCTAACTGACTGTAGCTGCCACCTTAACGTAGTGGTCGGGGTTAGTTATTGTCTGGACCACGTTTCTTAAAGTCTTACCATGCCAGGCAGGATGGTTTGGGAATGGTAAGACTAAAAGCAGCAACTTAAGGTCCGGGAACAAAGTCCTACTTCCGACTGTAGACAGATGTAACTTCAGTAAACTGTTCATGTCTACAAACAGCATCCAAAGCGATCCTGTCTATTCACAAAGGGAGGAGGGGATCAGAAATAGTCAACCCTAGATATGTCACATCTCACCTTACCTACGGACTCTGGTTTCCGTAGTAAAGCATTTTGAAGTGTACAGCTAAGGTATCAAAAACCTCCCATAAAATGGCTGTTTGTGAACGGTTTCAAGCAGTTGTCTATTGTGCTTTGCAGTCGCTAAGATCAACACTAATTCAGATTCTTCTTCAGGTCCCACAAGAGGAAAACTCTATCCACAACGTGGGCAGCTGAGAAGTGGTAACCGCCCTAATACCTCTCTCAGCACTCGAGATAATCTTTTTTTACTATCAACCCCCCTCACCTCTTAATACTTCTCCCCTCTCATTTATATTTCTCATCACTCACCACCAATATTAGTGATTTGAGTTCACGGAATGTTATTCCTGTTCTCCTGCAACCACGCTCTAGACTATGTGTTGGAGCTTTTAATGTTTATTTATTTATTTATTAGAACACATAAATATTGGTAAAAGAGAGCACCAATATATATGCGCCACACAAAACAATGAGAATTCAAAGAGAAAAAAAGGTAAGGAGCGCAAGAAAAAAAAAAGAGAACAATAACGAAGAGATTGGAGTAAATTAGTGTGGTAGTAACGACGGAACGAAAAGATGCAATCAGAAGAAATCTTTCAGTTAAGGAAGAAACAACCACTTTTTATGAAGAAAGTAAAAGAAGGTTACAGCAGGATCGCCACTGGCTTCTATTCTGAGCCATATCTGATAACGTCTCTAGCCACTGTGTAGCACCATCTCTCGGACCCCAACCAGGGAGTCGTGAAGGACCGACAGAAGCCAGTCCTTTGCAGCTTTCTTTCATACCACGACACCATGTCATACACTGACCACCTCTCCGCTTCTTCCAACCAGTCCCAGAGGCGGCAAATAATGCACGACGTGGAATTCTCTGGGACGACATTCGTAGAACATGTCCAAGCCACCGAAGTCGGTGTTTCGAAATGGTGACACCAATTGAATTATCATCTCTGTGCCCGAACACACGATGCCGAACCTCTGCATTACTAACATGGTGTTGCCACTGGATGTCAGCAATTCTTCGGAGACAGCGATGATCGAACACAGAGTAGTCTAACATCCTTAACTCGGAGAGGCCAGGTTTCACAAGCATAGAGCAAAACTGCTCTCACCGACGCGTTGTAGGTAGACTAAACGAAACAAGAAGGCACTTATGAGGGTCATACGGTATTACATCTCAGCAAACGGATTATGGGACGGTCTACTAAAACTATGCTCAGATAACCGTCTATTTGTAGCAAACACCAACTTTAAACATAGAGAGAAACATCGTATGACGTGGCTACCCCTACAATCGACTATTCGATGAATTCAAATAGATCATATTTCCAGCAGCTTAAACATAGGCTGATAAAAAGCGTATGTATTTATCGAGAGCAGTGGTAAGTAGCAAAAACAGTAGAAATGATAGAAAATGCAGCAATCAAAGATAACAGAAGACAACTGTTCAGACTTCTGGAAGAAACCGACATTAACAATACGGTTGTTAGTGAAACAATCTCGGAAAAGGATGGGACTATTACTCACTTCCAATCCATGGGATTAAATCGAAGGGCAGAACTTTTTAGAGAACAGTTCAACTGGCCTTCAACCACACTGCAGTTACCCACTATCTTCAGTCAACCTGAATGGTGAACTGATGCAAGCCCTTCAAATCTTAGTGAGGTTGTGAAGACTACAAGCAATGTAAATGGAGGGAGATCAGGAGGGTCTGATGAACCAAATCCCGGGATTTTCAGGGATGGTGGTCCAGTTTTAGCAGCTAAATTGACTGAGATCTTAGCTAAAACCTGGGAACCGAGTATAATCCTGTCTGAATAGTCTCGACCACTGATCGTTCCAGTCCACAGGAGAAGTTAAAAATTCTCGTGATAATCACAGAGGACTCAGTTTGACCAGTGTAGTAACTAAAGGATCAGCTCCAATATTAATCCGACGTCTAACTTGGGCTTGTAAAAAACAAACCTGAAAATAGCATGTTGGTCTCAGACTTAGGTGTGGATTTATAGATCAGATAGTCACCCTTTGACAGGTTCTGTAACATAAACATACTTCTCGACGTCCGACAGTAGTGGTATTCCTTGACCTTAAGGTAGTGTTCGACTCGGTCAGTTGTGGTATTCTTTAGCAGTGTCTGTCGTTGAGAGGCGTGTCAAAGAGTTAGATTAACCTTGTACAGACTCTCTACTCGAACACTACTGGTCGAGCCATAGCTTGTGGCGAACTGTCGTTGGGATTGATTACTTCAAGTGGTGTTCTTTAGGGTAGTCCTCTTTCCCTATTTTTACCTAACTTCGTTATTGAAATTCTTTTAAAAATGATGCTTTCGTCGCTTAATATTTTAGAAGCTAATTTTCTACCAAGAGGTACACTTACTTAGATGGCAGTGCCGTTCGATGAAGACGCTGACAAACTCAACAGTCTTCTGATCCCCTTGAATAACAATGTCAGGATGTTTAGAATGCGTTTCTTCTTTAATTTATGATGTATCTTCCGGACTGGTCTGTACCAGCTCCTGTATTAATAATCGGACGTGAAGTAGTTAAGCGTATCGACCGCTTCACTTATCTTAGTAGTTTAGTCAGTCTTGATAGGCTGGTGTATGATGAAAGCTCGGCATGGATTCAGAAGGTTTGCTTGGCTTTTGCTATCCTGTCTCACTTGTGGCGTAGGCGCGATATCCGTTTACCAACTAATGGAATGGTTTGTTGCGCAACAGTTCGCTCCGCTCTACTTTATGGGCACAGAGTATGGCCTGTTAACGCTGTTTTTGATGTAAGTACTTCCTTGTAATCCCCTTACTGTCATTCGTTTTGCTTCTTCTCATAACCTGTTACAACGATACTGGTGGACAAAACTCAATTCCCCAGTTACTTTCGAAATATCCGGCTTAGTATCACTCTTATCTGTAATGTCTGTTTTCGTGATTCTAGTTAACCAACCTATACTGTTGATAACGTCTTTTTACAGTTATTTTCGTATATAGTCGTGAATCTGGTGGATAGGGCAGCGTATTAGTCTTTATATTAGTTTGTTACATAAGACTATCAAAACTAGGTAGTGCAAATTGTTAAAGTAAATCTATAGTAATTTCATCTTAATTTTGCTCTTGGTTCCACTTTAATAGCTGATATCACCGGATTATTTGTCAGCCTATAAGAAAAAATCTCACTTAGTTATTCGTATGCTGGAGTTGCGATTGGGACAACCCGTATTGCTTCAAGTTCTTAACAAGCTGCTTGTACTTGCTCGACTTTCGACTAAATCAATCCTCTCTTCTACAGATCGAAATCAGAGTCTGTCGGTCGGATTAGATGGATGTGGGAGAAACGAAGGTGATTCTGTTTCGGTAACTTCAAATACTCAACCTCAACAAAATCCTACAGTTCCTCCCTGTATGTCAGATGAACATAGAGCCAATATTCTACTATCTACAACTTCATTTCGGAGGATTATTTCTATGGTTACAGGTCAAGATATTCGAAATTTCTTAAATCAGTGGGCTTGCCATGCTGGTCATGTCAGGATGTTTGCCAAGTTTCATTTCAACCGTAAACGGAATGTTGTAGAATTAGAATTAAAACAGGTAATCATTTTTCTATAAAGTGTAATAAAATTTTCATGTTTCACCAAAGAAATTTTAATAAACGGTTGGTGAGTGTAACTTTCTCTGATATTGGTCAGAGAATTTATAGGATCAGAAGTGTACTTAATATCTGTTTTGGACTTGTCAAAAGCCCTCACTCTTCACTTCTCCAGATTTAAGCATCGAATCTTCGAATTCCGTGACGTTTGAGCTTCTCTATTACAATCCGTCCATGATATATCAGATAGTGTTTTTTGTATGTACCCTAGTAGAGATTGTGATGAGTTCTCATTACTCGATGTTTCTTTTCACTTTTGACTACTTTGACTTTATACACAAAGTATTCGCATTGTACCTAGGTTAGACGTATATCTCCCTAGCGTCGTTTTGAGGAACTATGAATAGTAATTAGTCGGTTACAAGCTTCATGTTCATCGACTGAAATAGTTGGGCCACGTGTTACGTATGCCCGAACACCGATTACCACGACGTGCAATGCTAACCGGTGTTAGACATGGTTGGAAGAGAATTAGGGGCGGCCAAACCAAAACGTGGCGTCAGTGCTTGAAGTCACTAACTTCTAGTCTGAGCCATGTTGGTAGATGCAGACTACTTGGTTGGGGTCCGCGTGACTATCGTAACCAATGGTTGGAGACTCTTGGTGACATGGCTCGGAATCGATCACAATGGCGTAGGTGCATACATTTTCTGTCTTCCCTTAAACTAAGAGATTAAAATGACTTCATATCTTTCTTTCTACGAACCAATTCTTTCTTCTTGTACTATATCCTTATTGCAATCTCTCTTTTATATATTACCACCTCTGAATTAACTACTTTTATGAATCCGGTGTCCATCTTGTTGTGTTAATGAGGTATGGCAACTTGGACCGGTGCATAAATGTGCCTGGCCCTACATTGTAGCTGACTGACTAACTGACTACAAGCTTTCATTAGTCGGAAGATGATTTTTATGGTGGCCTCAGATAAAAGTCAGTTAATCACATAGTATTAGTTGGTGAATCTTTTTAAATCGATTACTACCCAACCAGTTCGGTAGTAACATGTTTACAATGAAAGAATCTATTGACTAAATAACTAATTATTCAAAAGTATTAATTAATAATTAAACATATACGACTTCCGTTTGCTTCTCTGGTTTATTTTTTGCCTATAACTTCAAGTAGTATAAAATTGTAGTATTACCACTAACTAATTATTATGAACAACAACACTCTTATTGTTGACCTTCTTTTTATGAATGAGTGACTATGTAGAAAAGACTGCAGCATCATGGTCTAATGGATATGCAATTCATAAACGTTTTATTGCCACTAGAATAGCATTTTATCACCCTTTCTCCGGATTAGGTCCGTATATCACTTATCAACTTCGCGAAGCGTAGCCAAATGTAATTTCTATTGCACAACTGACTCAGATAAGTACATATTCTTTAAATTCTCCACAAACCCTCCTATACTAATAATAATCATGCGCTCACTAATGACTAGCATGAAGATGCGACTCTTGGGGATCTAGTGAAAGCCCTGACCAGTGGAGTTAAACTATGTCAATTGTGGGACAGTTATCCGTTGCAGGCAATGGATAGGGGTTGTGCAGCATCGTCAATTGATTTAAATTAGACATTAATACAGTTGGATATCGTCACAGTGATCCAGAGGTTTGGCGCACCACTAAGGATCCCAACACTAGGACAAAACAGTTGTCCAGTATTTCTAGGATTTCAATAGTGGTCTAACTAAGATCAGTTCGTTGCATTAACTATGAAAATGTCCCTTGTAAGTTCAAAGTAGACTCTCTGATACAGACGGTTCACACTAATTTTTATATAGAATTTCAGAACTCACCAATATGTAATCATTTTTTCGAGACTTCCATCAGTGACATATTCAGGGTCTCATAGAAAAATTTGTTAGTCTTACTGATTAGTTTATTATAAACACTACCTGCACTTACAAAACAATTGTAGCCAGTTCCTGAGTCGTCGTCTTATTCGCTTCGTAGCCGTCTCTGTGGATTTAGCTAGAAAAGCTAAACTATTAAAGCTGAACTTGTCGGCTTAACGTTCATTTGAGCTGAGACCACTTATTTGGATTCAGCTTGAAACGAACGACTCTTACCAACAGTTCCGAAGTGTATATTTCGTGGAAACTGACAGCTGTTTGTGATAATAATCCTAAATATTAGGTTTCTCATTATCAGTACACTTTTAAGATGTATAATAGTTTTGTTCGACCTTCATTTTTAATCAATACTAAGACCAAAACTTGCATTACATATTACTGTGAGGGATTAAACATTTAAAAATTAAATTAAATTTTAGGATCTACAATCCAGAGGGACTCTGAATTATACTGGACCAATTACAGTTATGCTCCAAGAATTGGATGGAGCGTTTATACATACTTTCAAATTAGAAGAAGGCCGTATGTCTCGTGATTTACCATGTCATTCCAAAAGTCGAAAACATCGTAAAAAGAAAATTTCGTTAGCCAATGGCGATGAAGTTGATATGGATTTAGCTCGTATTGATCCAGAATCACCTTTACTCTGGCTTCGAATAGATCCAGACTTAGCTATTATACATGATATTCACGTTGATCAACCAGATTTTATGTGGCATCTTATGTTAGCTCATGATAGGGATTGTCTCGGTCAACTGGAAGCAGTAAATGCTCTCAAAGATTTTGCTTCTCCTGAAACGCGTCATGTTTTAAGTAATATTATTTAAATGACAGAATTTTTTATCATGTTAGAATGGAAGCATGCTTTACATTGTGTCATGTTGTGAACGAACTGAGTACTCTCAGTAACAACCCTACAGCAGCTTCGGCTACAGTAACTTCTTGTTTGTTGCCAATGTTTTGGCAGTTGTTTAGTTCACCAGCAGCTCGTGGTTTAATTCGTCAGAATAATTTCTCTAATTTACAACTTTATTTTCTTCAGAGAGCTATGGTCAAAGCTTTGTCAACTTTGCGTGTGCAACAAGTCTGTCCTCATGATATACTGATTTTCATTAGTGATTTATTAAGGCATAATGATAACTCGCGTAATCCATATTCTGATAGTTATTACCTTGCCGACCTTGTAAAGGCAATGAAAGATACTCTGACACCAGCAATTATTGTTCGTGGGGTAATGTCTGCCTCGACACTACCTTTTGAAGCCCGTACTGTTATCGAAGAAGTTTCTCATTTGTTAAACTTGGAAACAGAAACAATTAGTTATAAAGGTAATGTAACCGTTGTCTGTTTAGCAGCTATAAGACGGCTACAACGACTTGGATTTTTACCCATAGATCCAAGTTTGTTTTACCAATATGCTTTGTCAAACTTTTATTGTGATATCAGAGTAGCAGCAATCGAAGCTGTTGTGGATTATATCAGAGGTGAAAGAGATCAGTCAGCATTAGACTGGCTCTTTAGCAACATTATAGAACGAGAAGATGCCAGTGACGCTTCATATGTTCGCCTACGCTTTGAAGCTGTTCAGTTACTACTACGCATGCCGCCATTTCAACGTGGTGAGTCGGGTAGTCGATTAGATACTCCTCAATTAGTTGAAAGACTTTGGACACTAATGAATTATGGATGCACCGGTGATCCACGACTTAGATGTGCAGTCGCTGAACTCTACTACACACTTTACGGTAATCGTCGCCCAACTTGTCTTCCTCTTCCAGAAGGTGTGCTTTTAGTGAGAGTCAAGGAAGGGAGATCTGTACTTAATATATCTGAAAACAATTCTAAAGCTAGTGAAATAGACTATACTGATGAACTGAACAAATATAAATCTGAATGCTTCGGTAGAGGAGTTCCTCTTTCGAAGATGCATCCAGAATATGAAGAATTAGAAGATAATTACTCGGAGTGTGAGATGTTGCACGCAAATACTATGAAGTTAGAAAGAGATTCAATCCAACGCCCCACAGTGTCAGAATTCAATCCTCAATTTGATCTAAAGCGAAGCAGAACTGGAAATTTCTCAGAATTGAATGATTCGTCGAACACTTTCAAAAGGCGAACTGAACGTCTAAGTGATGATGAAGATGATTAAGGTAAACGTGAGTTAACTGATTTATGAAGTTTTTAGTCTTAATAAGTGCAATAATTTGTTTGTGTCTCGATTGCTTTTTTTTTCATGAACTTTGTGTGAAATACGTTGTTAAACCGATAAATTATTCACACACGAACCTAGATTTTGTGTATGATTTCATGGGTGTATTCAATTTATTCATTCTCCTGTCTGTAATAAATGTCTTCACATTATGTCCGTCACGTTTCACTCCTTTACTTGTCTATTTGTCAGATGATAAATAGATCCGACTTACGATAACTCAGTAAAGCAAAACTTAAGTTTTTCTTCTCAAATAATACAACTGTCATGTTTTTCCTATATTTTCATCTGTTTTGAAATGGAAAGTTTTCGTGAACTTTAGTCCAAACAAAAATTTACGACCCTAACTGAGTTGAAAATTTTGAAACAATTTACATATACTGGCACATAGAAATTTGTGCATTTTTACATACTCCATGACTAGTCTATGAAAATGATTTTGATTACTGGTTACCTGTTAATAATACGATTTTTCTGGATTGTTTTACCAATCGTCAAACATAAAATAATGTGTTATGTTCTGTATTTCATCACAATCGTTTTCAAGAAATAAAATTTTTTAGCATCTCCATGGATTTTGAAAATAATATAGGCTTACTGAATTCAGTATTGCTTGAAATGAAGAACTTACCCTTGGCTTCAAGTGATTCAACCCTATATGGTAGTTTTTCTGTATAAATCTATTATATATATATATATATTTCTGAGCACGTTATGATTTGCTTCTTTTATCACGTTTTAGAATATTGAATACTGAACTGGAGATCTTCGTTTCGTACCTGTTTACTGTTTTTCATGTGGATGTAACTAATCATTCATTAGTCTGTAAATATCTGTACATATACCTTGAACTTTTTATTTTTAATAGTGAAATGAAGCTTATTCGTTTTGATCTTACTTGGGAATATGTGCATGACTTTTAGGTTGGGATTAAGCATGAGATTATGGATTGATTTACCGTGATGTTCGTTTATTACCTAATAATTCCAAGCATAGATTAGTTCAGTACGGTATTTGTCTAAGCTAAGGTTGTTTAAATTTAACTATTTATCAGTTATAAGTAAGTTCGTATATAAATGAGTACCTTTAGATATTGCTTTGGAAATCTAGTATTTGAGTGTAAAAAAAATTTAGTCCCTCATATGAGTGAATCCATATTTCGCCTGTGTCTGTTTTACTGAGTAAAAAATTGACTTGATGCTAGTAGTAGGACATACTCGATATTGTCTGCAGGCTGTGTCTAGTAAGATTACTAGTTAGTAATAGGAAATGATTTTGTTTAATTATAAATAAATACAAGTTTTAACTGTAATCAATAAACTAGTAGATGGGCTTTGTTCACTGAAATTTCTATTCCCGTAAACATCCGTCTGTTATCTACAACGTCTGACCAGGCACATATTTACATCGGTCGAAGTTTCCATACCTCATTAGCACAACAGGATAAACACCGAATACATAGAAGCAGTTACTTTAATAGTCGTAATATATGGAAAAAGATTGCACATAAGGATATAATACAGGAAGAAATAATTAGTTCGTAGGAAAAAAGTAATTTTACTCTCACGATGTAAGGGAAGACAAAGAGTGTATACACCTACACCATTGTGATCGATTCTGAGCCATGTCACCCGGAGTCTCCAGCTACTGGTTGCGATAGTCACGTGGAACCCAATCACATAGTCTTCATCTATCAGCATGGCTCAAGCGGAAGGTAGTGACTTTGTGGATTGATGCCATATTTGGTTTGGTCGCATTAACTGATTTACCATCATTCCCTAACACCCTACACTTCTAACCTCACTAATACTTACTCGGTGATCCCAGCAGATGCGAGCAATATTTCTAAGACATCTGTGATCAAATACTAGTAGCTTACGAGTATCTTCTACTCTGATTGGCCAGGTTTTGCAGCCGTAAAACAGTACAGAACGAACTGCCGCTCAGTATACTCATCTTTCAACTGATAGACGGATGTTTCACCTTCACCATAAGTGACGTAAGTTGGCAAATGTGAACTTTTAGAATCCATGCTGAGATTTTATCAGACACCCATTAGGACTGGCCAGACTTCCAAGATAAGTGAAGTTGTCGACGCGTTCGACTACTTCACTCCCTATCCTTAGTTCAGGTGTTGGCGCAGGCCAGTCATGAAGTAAGAAAGGGGTGAGAAACGCATCCTAGACGTCCTGGAATTGTTGCTCAGTGCTACCAAAAGACTACATTTTATCAGCGTCTTCACCAAACAGGATTTTCGTCTTTGTATTCTAATTCAATAAGTGAACATCTTGGTAGGTGGTCAATTCCTGAAAATTCAGTCGGCGAGAACGTTGTTTTCGGCAGCAGCTCTATGATGAAGTTCCGCATAAATGGAGGAAGTGGACAGCCTTACCTGACACCTTGAGGTTGCAAAATCAGATGATAATTATTGAGACCAGTATTTTAGACGCTATATTAGTCAAACTAATCCCTTTATGGTTATTACAGGGAGATTTTGATCCTTTCTTATATATTGGGACAATCAATAATTGCGACTAGTCAGATGGGATTACGTCTAGTTCCCAGATTTTAGCTAAAATATTAGTCAACCTAATCTCTGGAACTGGACCACTATCCTTAAAGACTTGGAGGCAGTCCATCTGAACCAGCTGCTCTCCTTAGTTTCAGATTACTATAGATTTTGAAGATCAATCAAAGCCGGGTGGCCTATCTTAGTGCTTATTCAGGCTGTTTGAAAATAGAGGGTAGCTGAATTGCTCCTTTTTTAGGTTTTAGTGACCTGAGAGTGTGACCACAATGACAAAGGGACAACTGCTTGAATTCAGTCACACACGACCTTACTGATCAATTTTCGTGTTAGCTCCGTACTTGTTGGGACCTTACGACCTGGGACGGAAACCTGTGGGATAAGGCCAGGTGTGTGTTTTCAGTTTCGACCCACCCTTTGTGGGAAGGCAGTATTGCTGTTGTGCTGGTTTTTTTAGGAATACACCTTACTGCCGTCACACTTCTGTACAGTCAGCAGCACGACTTCGCCCTCGGATCTTGGGTTTATTGCTTTTAGCCTTACCGTTCTTCAATCTACCTGCTTGGCATAGTAGGACCTTGAGGAACGATTGTTCCAGTTGTGATAGCCAAATCTGACCACTACATCACGGTAGCAGCAAAGGTTGGATTCCGTAAAAGCACTCATCCCTTAATAGTACAATATGGTTTAATATTATATTTTGACGTCCATACATTTCCAAACAAAACCCATCACCCTGTAATGTTCTCTGGTAGAAACCGTATGGTACGTGGTCACGTGTAAGCTTTCCGAAAGAAAAATTAGAATATTTTCCTTTTTGTCAACCTGTCCTAAATGTACTCAAGGATTTTGACGAGTTTAATCAATACAATGAATACGAGTAATATTTTTCTACTAAATAACGTGTGTTTACCTGTCGTTTATGTGTGTATAAATCTCGTCAATTAAATTTGTGAGTACTCCATGTTGATTATCCTGCCAATGTGATTCAGAAAAAATAAAACTCAAAACAACCATTACACCTCCTTGGGTTATTTACATTCTAAAAATGGTTTGATGAACACGCCTGATTGAGAGTGAAATTTCTATGTGAATTCTCTGTATTTTTCATTCTTTGTTTTCAGATGGTCTTTCATATCATTATTCAATTAATAATACACATTGAGAAGTAAATTGCTTATTAGGTTCCCTCCAGAAAATATATTTCATCGAAATATCCTTGTAGTGTGACGTCGAGTCACGGTTCACTATGATCACCAATACAGGAAGACTACGTTCCAGATGACCCGTAAGCCAAATACTAGAAGGCAGTTGATTGCTGTAGTCGAGATGTATTTGTTGGCGATCTCGTGGTATCGAAAGAATACCGAGATTGTACCAGGTTACAAGTGTGGTTACTGAGCGTAACCGAATTCGTGCAAGGTCACAATCAAAGGAAGAATGTATGTATTTTTGGTACATTTAAACATACAAGTACGGTAAAACAATCCCTGATACAATTGGTTATAATAATAATTGTTTCCATTAAACCAATCGCGTTCTCTTGATAAAAGTAGGTCACTACATCCTTTAAGTTCATGGTATCTTTGCTACTAGTAAATTCTAACTCATTGAATAGACTATGTAATCCTCTCATTCATGAGTATTCTTTTGGCCTAACCTCAATACTCCAATAACCGTTGAATTCGTGATCGTAAAAGACTAAAAACGTGGGATGAATAACTTTTATATTTCTAGAAAGTACAGTAAATAATTAAAGTTTAACCAGCTCTGCGAGAGTTTAACATCCAATCAATTGAGAAAAGTACACCTAATATTCCTAATCATTCGTAATGCAAATAAATCAAATACCAAACATGTTTAAATCTACGTATTTTCCGCAATTTAGCTGGCAGATGAAAACTATTACATAACAGTCTTTCTACGAAATCGTCATCAAAAAGGAAATGGACGCATGAGATGTCTAACTGTTTCATCCTGTTTTGCAGCGTTTCTTCATCTTTAAAAGATAAACTCAATTAGTAAACTGAATATTTTGAGAAGTTATAATCATAAACCATTTTCGGTTTCTAGACATTTTCTGGTAGATTATAATTTGTATTGGTATTCGAAGATAGATAGTTACTGTCATAAATCTCATCTAATATTTTAACCTAATCCCAATGTATGTATATGGTAAACCATACCGAATAGTTCTGATCTAGAAACATTTATTCGAATTTCTTCATCATCAGTCGCAAGTATAGAAACTAAGACACATAAATCGAATTATCATTCCTATTTTCATGAAATATTCCGTGCAACCATCCATTGATGTTCACTACTCAGACTTTTTTCACTGATTTACTGACAACGGTATTCCAAATAGTAAAACATAAATGTGATCACATTTCTGTTTTCATTAGATAATACA